TATGCACTTTTGCCATCTTATAGGTAGTTCATTGACCCCTTTACTAAAAAAACCATGGGGGAGAGAATTAATAAACTCTTTGAAGGCTGTTTAGACATCCGCATCGGAGTTGAATTTTTTTCCTTGTAAGAAGTTGTCCAAATTCCGGACAAAATAGTAATCTGTTGGAGCAAGGTCCGGGGGAGTACGGATAATGTCGCAGACATTCCAATTGTAGCTCATTTAACTTAGTGGTTGTTTGTTGTGCAGTGTGTGGTCATGCGTTGTCGTGAAGCAGCAGTGGCCTAGAGCGATTGACCAATCTCGGTTGTTTAGCAGCTAGTTCTTCCTTCATGGTTTGCAGTTGCTGACAATAGATATCTGCCGTAATCGTTTGGACAGATTTTAGAAAGCTACATGTTATAATTAATGATAATTTTTATTTGAAAATAGAGAAAGTTATTGTTAAATTGCTATACGTGAATATTTTCATCAAGCATTTTTAAATTTTATTTATCAAAATGTTAAATTAAGATGCGCTTGTGTGTCCGTGTTTCTTGCTTTGCATCGAACATCTGTTATAATAATACTATACGATCCTGAGAGTGCTACGGTTGTCTTGTCCTTTACTGTAGGTACTACATTAGATTAGATTTTAATATTCTAAATACCACTAAAATATGAATAGAAAAATATGAGGATGTTGAATGAAGTAAATTACTAAGTCTACCTAGATGTTTTTTTAAACTACTTTTTAAAAACTATTTTTTTTTATTTCAGCCGTGTAAATATATACATATGTCATATATTCACTTCTTCCTATCATACACCTACAAAACGTTTATAGGCTAACGTATTCGTAAGAATTGTTTTGATTGGTTAATTTAAATTTTGTGATGACATTTAGCGTTATATATTTTACCTATTACTGAAATCGTTTAGCAGTCAAGGGTTTCAGATTATCGTAATACATGATAAGTAGTAAAGTTGTGGTAAATAGTTAGCGTCGGAAAGTAATGTTGCCAACAGGGCAGGCCAGGAGTGATACAACGGTCTTACAGAAAACCGGTATTAAGTAATTCTTGTTTTTCAATGTTTTTCACTGAGTGAGTGAGGTTACTGCATACCCACCCTTTTCCCCTCCCTAATTCTTATTTAATAATAATAATAATATTCTATATTCAAATCAAATATCTTTTATTACTGCGTTACAACCTGTGTTGTTGCGACTTAGGCAACCGTATATACTAGTGGTTCTAATAATACATAACACGAACATATCTCATAAATATATTAAAGGGAATTTACCGAGAAACAACGTGTAAACGAGACTCTAGGTGTAGCAAACGTCTATCTTCAGCAGGCTAAGTGCTTGCTTACCATCTATTGGGTCGCCTTGCAGTAACAGTTGTAATCAAATAAATTTAGATATTTTTTAGTCGTTTCTCTTTATCCTTTTTATAATACAATATACAATATATAATAATACAACTGTCCGTGCGGTGACGGATTAAGAATACAGTGTCACGACCCCTATTAATCCCGTAGGTGTCGTACTTAGATATTTTATTTCAGCACAAAAACAGTAAATAAACAACAATCCGTACATATTGTTTTAAGATATATAGTTAGGTACTATTTCTTCATGTGTGTGTGTAATTTTCTTTGTAAGATTCGGATAGTTCAGACTATTATAATAAGCTTATTTCCTGTAGAAATCAAATACACTGCCATGTTGGCAACAGGATTTTTAACTAATAATTAACTTACACAGTAAAATTGTGTATGGATCAGAAAGATTGAAATAGCAAACTATTTAGCCTCCTTTAAGAAAATCAATATATTCTTAACTATTTAATATGTTTACAAACATTTTCATAATTGCCCTTTCTTCTAGCTACCTAAAACGTAATATGTACCATTTAAAAGCAAACGTTGAGACGAAGCGAAAGGAGTTTAAACTGAAAGCCTTGGCCGGAATCCAGGCAAGTCATTCAGACGGACAAAGGTTTGCTGCGAGTGTACTCATTATATTCGTTTGTCTGTGTGGTGAAGAACAAATTTTCTGCAAACCTAACGGTCTTTGTATCTAACAAGTGCAAACTCTTCTCTGTTCACGAATGTATTAGTTGTAAGTAGATGTGCATGAGTCACTGTTCGTTGTTGAGGTTTAAGTGTGCGAATCGTTTTAGTCTGTAGCTAGCATAATGGAATTAACCGCTAATATTTCACCTGTCGTTCAGTCAATGCAAATCCTGTTATGAACCCTTGTCCAATTTTATTTCAAAACTAGCTGAGACCCGCGGTGTTACCCGCGTTTGTTGTTATTACCACGGGCAACGCCGCAGGGCGAAGCTAGTCAAAAAAAGTAGCCTAAGTTACTCCTTATGTCATCAGCTATCTGTCAGTGAAAGTCCCGTCGAAATCGGTCCAGTCGTTCCAGATTACCCGGAACAGACAGACAGACAAAAATTGTAAAAAACTTTATTTTGGCATATGTACCGTGTAAACATACATATGCATTTAGTAAAAAGCGGTTATTTTAATATTACAAACAGACACTCCAAATTTATTTATTTGTATAGATGTATAGATTAGTATACCTATCAGTTATATTCATCAAAACGAGACTTTTGAACATATATAGCTAACCTGTTGACTAGACGTAACTAAAGGACCAACTAAAACCGTTTTAGTCTATTGTAACATGTCAGCCATCGAAAACTAAAGAAGGGATCTTTCAACAAAAGCAAGGGCGGCCTTTGGGGGTGGCGAGCAGGGCAACCGCCCAGACCTTGCTCAGTCCCAAAATGTTAGGCCTCGCATTATAAAATATTTATTATTTTATACATTTTTTTTTTTCTAGTTGTTATGTTTCACTTCATTTTCTCTTTTATTTGTTTTTTTTTTATTTATCTTGTTTTCTCTTCATTGTCTTTTTACTTTTTAGTCCTTAATACACACATCCTTAATAATGTTGTGGTATGTTTAATAATGCCGTTGTATCTATCTGTGAATTGAAAAAGACTGGCCATGAGTTTGAGTGCCCTTTCTTCTCATAAGGCTTAACCCTTTGTGACCGACACATGTAGATTTCATAGATCTTGTATAAGTTTAATTTTTATTAAATTAATTTTCTTATTATTTGACAAAACAGAGATTGTTGCTATTGATCTATAACTTAATAGTCAACATAAAAGACGATTTCAAACTATTTTAGAAGAGTTATGAAATAAAGAGAGTTACTACTACTACTAACGTTTGCGCTCGATTTGCGTTCGGGGATTCTCCGTGTTTCATTCTGCCTGTGATTTTGACAGATTTCCAGCACCAACTATTGTAGGCGTATGCTTTTTACCTTCGAGCAGCAGTGTGTATTGCGTTGCATTTTTTCTTCCAAGTGTCACCATTAAAACAAATTTCACAAAGCCCGGTGATCTACCGGTCCGAGGCCTCGCAACGATCTACTTGCCCGGGGCCCCCAATGATTAAGGCCGCCACTTAGAAATATGTTACTGGAGAACCAATCTCCTCTCCCTCACCCTCATGAGGGAGAGGACACACAAAGGGTGGCAACTCACATATCTCTTGAGTTGTAGGGGTTGTAGGTGTCCATAAGCGTCAGTAGTTACTTACCATCAGTTGACCTGTCTGCACGTTTGCCCCCTATTACATAAAAAAGGTTACTTCAAAAAAAAAAACAAGCGAGAGACTCAAAGTCTAGGAGCTTTGATTGCTGTTTTCATTTTTTGTTTTTTTTAAGACAACTCTCGCATTACAAATATATCCTGTGTCTCGGGGGACTTTACAAATATACATAAAACGAACACAAAGAACACCCAGAGTCAGAACAACAACGTGTGGATCACACAAAGTCTCACCCATGTGGGGATCGCACTCACAACACTAAGCGTTACTCCGCTCAAACCGCTCAAACCACTACGCCATCTGTGCAATCAATTATGAGCGTCAAGAAATAAATGCTTGTATAATAGAAAATTACAGATAAAGATACTGATTAAATTAATGCTATCATTTGCTATAATGATGTGGTGGTCCTAAAATAATTTTCTGCAAAGCCAACGATCAAATCAAAACAAATAAATTTATTGAAATTAAATTAATTGTAGGTATTTTTGAATTATAATGATTGGGAATCAGTTAAAGTGGGTCAGTTGTGAAGCTAGTCACAGGTAACTTCCTGTCCTGTTCTTCTTCTTGGCATCCCATATAGTCTGTATATAGTATATGGTCTCTATATAGTCTTGGATAAACTTCAAAGGCGCTTTACAATTTTATGAAAACATTGATTTAAAAAAAAAAATGTTACGTGAGGGTAATGTAAAACAATACTCAACCATATCAAAACTAATAGAGTCAAGTACATTATAGTTATTTAGTTCAATTACCGTCCTCACAAAACAAGCAAATAGCCGGTAATATACGAGACGTGCGCGTGCGCAAATACCTTTTGAAACGTAGGTGCGAAAAGCTCTCATTAATGCAACGCCTTGGGGCAATAAACTTTCGCATCGATGTACTATCGCTACTGTAGAAATCTGTCAATTGTCAAGTTTCGGTAAAAAATATTGAGTTACTGAGAAGTTGTTTTGTTTTTGTTCATATCACATAAATAATGTATTATCGTACTCGACTAACCTGATAAAATATATAATAATAGTATGCCCAATAGTAATAGAAATGTAATAAAAGTAATAGTAATAGAAATGCCCAATTTAAATGAATGAATATTTTATCAACACTACATATTAAGTTGTATTTAAATTATTGTCTTCTAAGACAATTTTTCTAGTTTTTATCTATAAATAAGACACAGAAGTAGTACCAACTTATTATGGAGCAACGAATGTCATTATTGCTCTAGTTTATCGTAGACCTGTGACATTTATAGTAACATGCAATTAAAATGGTCATAAGTATTCGCGCAAGTAGTTTTATAATCCATTTTGACGACAAAAAGTGACGCCTAAAAATGACAAATATAATAGAAAAAAGCTCACCGGACTATATATCGCCATGTCGCCCTTTCAACTCTAAACAAAACTAGGTAGAACGCTTTGTTCCTTTTAGTGTTGCACCGAAACGTGACCGAAGATGAGTCTAAATATGTGCGAGATTAGCCAGTCGGCACTGTGTCCGCGCGCGCTGCCCGCTACGAACTGACGATGAACTTTGTAGAGCTGCGCCGGCGCCCACACCCGCTGCAGGCGGCACCGGTAAACGCATGTGCCTCATATAATCACTTATTGACGTACATTTTGATCAACATTCCGAGGGATGAGAGGCTCTATTTTTGAATACTATCGGTCAATCATCGCATCATATATTAATACTCATAAATATTGTGCTCTATAAATAAATTTTGTACAAAGCATCGTTCTTTAAAGTTAATTCACCTCAGGATGAGAACATCGCAAATATGAGTTTAATATCCTAAAACAATGCTCTTATAATTTCGGTCAGGTAAACACGGCAATGTGTTTAGCGCTAGCGCTATCTATGTAAATTTATTTGATATTTCTTTACCCTAATTAAGCTGTCGCAACAAATGAATAGCATCGATAAGACGTTGCGACAATATTCAGTTGCAAGTAAGAATTTCCACGAACAGTTATGATTTTAAAACAAATAAGTGAGAAATAAAGAAAACATATAAGTATTTCTTACTACAGACATAATATAAGGTCAAGAATCGTAAATAAAAGAACAAGGTCAGTTTTAATGTTTATTGATTTTTTCTTACATTTCTGTGCACAATTCTCTTATGTCTACTGACGCATCCGGCCGTCCTGAAAGTTTTGCCACATTCCTGACAAGTAAATGGTCTTTCGTCCGTGTGCGTTCTGTTGTGTACTCTTAATATATCTAGCGTATTGAACCGTTTACCGCAGGTTTCACATCCGTACTTCCTCTCATTTGCATGATAAACAAAATGTCTCCTATATTGAGCTAAAATATGAAAAGTTTTCCCGCACACTTCGCAGGTTTTTTTCGGCGTGGGATCGTGAATTGCTTTATGTATAACCAAACCACTTTTGAACTTGAACTTTTTATCGCATACGTTGCAAGAATATGCTTTGTCAGTAGTGTGTGTGTCTAAATGATTCATTAGATTTCTGGTGTACTTGCCACATACTTCACAAATTTTCCAATAGTCGTATTTTAGTTTTTTAGATTTTTGTCTCTTAACCATAACTTTTTTATTCTTGGCTTTAGGTTCATTTTTTTGAGCTACCTCACTAGAATCTGGTTCATAAGATACGTCTGGCATGTCATCCGATACGTGAATATCTTGTTCGTCTTTAGTATCGTCGTGGATGTCGTCTTCATGTTTCGATGTAACTTCGATTTTTATATCTCTATTAGTACAACGGAACTGTTTATCAACATCTTGACATTTCCGTCTAAATTTATATGCGTTTTGTAACTGTTCGTGACAATTCAAACATATTTGTGTTGGCAAGTTATCGAGCTTATCAACCTAAAAAGAGAAGTTATGGAATCTTTATGAATAAGACTTTTTAAAATTTATGTGACGGATTCCCTAACAGTAAACTCAACAAAATTATGGTCGCGCGGCGCGCAATTCCTCGCAAATGTGTCATTTTTTGTTGGTAAGGTATGGTATAAGGGGACAAACGGGCAGACGGGTCAGCTGATGGTAAGCAATTACCACCGCCCATGGACACCTGCAACTCAAAAGTCACAAGTGCGTTGCTGCCCCCGGAGTCCATCCCGCTCGAGTCAGCGGGAGGGGGGATTTGGGCGCCGGTAACCTCACTCACTCAGTGAAAGGCAATGAAAGAATTGCTTAACACCTTCGCTTTAGTTTAGATCTGTCAAAAATAGAGCTTACCTCAATGCCTGCTATAATTTTTAACTTATGTGCCAGATCCAAACCGTCATCATCTCTTTGTTCAAATATATCGACACTCGCCTCTGAACTCGAGCAAGATCGACACTGCTCACCATTTTCGAACTCAAATTTCGGTTCCACATCGAACTGAAGCCTTTTCTTCAGATCCATGAGTTTGATGTCATCTTCGAATTCGTCATCATGTGTACCATCATCAAAGTGATCGTGAGAATCTTCTTCCTTCTGCTCTTTCATTGAATGTTTGTCTCGCACTTCGGCGTACCGACTCAATGCTTCAAAATATGGCCACTGCTCATTTAGTATACCTTTGTTCGCAAATTTTTGTTTCCACTGAAATTAAATAAGATATTAGGTAAATATATACATACACTTCATTATTTTTATGTTGTTAACCCTATACCAATTCGTCTGGCCAGCGCCAAAACCTCCTTTCTAAGGAGAGGCCTATGTCCAGCAGTGGACTATTAAAGGCTGTTGATGATGATGATAATGATGAACATGATAAATATATAAACAGCGGTTGTCTGTATTAAATGACAAAGGTGCAAGGTGCTCAGCCGTGCACTCGTGAGTGACGTTGGATCGTGTGGTCGTCCTGATGTGGAGTGTTACATTTCAACCCTTTTTGTATTAATAAAAAGACGTGGAATACTTCGTTTCATATGTTAGCTCGCATTCAGAATTAGATTGATGTTAGCCAATTTTGTAGTTATGGTATTGTCCACTAAACGCTTATTTTTTAGGAATCTTTAATTTTCAAAAATGATTAACAAATGATTTTTGTTAATCATTTTTGAAAATTGATAACTTTAGAGAGAGAGAAATTACTGATTAGATAACTAAAGAGTTTCTTATAAAATATATTTTTAGCTGGTGTTAGATATTATGGTTGGAGCATATATTAGTTTGCGACCGTTTAATAGGTAGTGCTGACATTTAAAAACCACATCAATCTTCCGAGCCCATACATATGTATATACATAAAACGATAACTTTATTTTCTATAAAAGCAATTAAAAATTATAAATTATTTTACAGTACGTAAGCAACTTAAAGTTAGGGAGTTATTAGTTTTTTTTTTTCAAATAAACCAACAAATCATTCGTTCCGAGATTTTATTAACCTCAATATATCTGAATAGTCCCGTACGGGCTGCCCCGTTTTAATAATTATATATGTAGGTATCTATTTATTTTCTTATCTGAGTTGCAGAGGTCAAATATAAGATAGGTACTCCGTGGAAAATCTATCAGCTTAGAATAACGGGTAGTAATACATACACAATCAAACTAACGTGTTTTGTTATACTTTTTTAGGGTTAAAATATGAAAGTAAAATCTTGGTCATTATGCAGGATCTGTCGTAAGTAATGAATAACCTGTTAATTAGAGGTTTAAATGATGGGCAACCATGGCACAGTACTTATGTGTCACGATCAAAGCTATAAAACTTCGTCATCATCATTAGCTTATTGCAGTCCACCGCTGAACATAGACCTCTCCAATTGCTCGCCACTTAAATGAGGCCTGATGATGAAGGTCAAACTTGACGAAAAAATACGTAAAAATGCTTGCTTGATGTTAATTTTGTTAATGTTTCCAATTAAGATAGTAATTGAATAACAAATACAAGTCTCCAGGAGTCACTGCCCAGTCTTTTCCCAAACTAGTCTACTACGATACGGCTAAATTTCAATTTTCACGTGGAGCGACTGCGATCAGACCTCCACAACCCGAGTATGTACTAGGCCATATCAAAGTTCTGTAGATAGACTGTTGCCCTACTTTTTAGGGCTCCGACTACCCGTATCGATCACCACAGTGCTCTCCGAGGCACGGAGGGGACTCTACTGACATGGCTAGGATTGTTTAACTTTTCTATATCGTGTTAACCTACCCCGTTGGTACTTACTACAATAAAAAAAAACTAGTGAGATAATTATATATTTTTAATTTAAATGGCAACTAAATAAAAGAGTAAAATAGCAAAACCTAACCAAATAAGTGTTCACCTTTTTCACACCCTTGATAACCCTGACATGAAAATATAATCATTAACTTAAACTTATCCATAAATTACTACATACCAATATATATAATATATTTGAACATATCTGCACTGTGAAGGCTAATTCTCGTAATAAAAGTTCGGTCACAATTCAGTTCCGATCAACTTTCGATCTCGAATTTGTCATAAAAGGTATTTTCATAATAAAATAGAAAATTTGTACTAAGAGTAGCAGATTACCGATTTTATTTTCGGTTTCAATCTATATATATATAAGAGATTTCGTCGTGTATAGTCACTCATCACGATATCTCTGGCACCATTAGAGCTAAAGACTTGAAATTTGGTAGGAATATTCTTTTCACCGAGCAGAGGTCAGCTAAGAACGGATTTTAAGAAATTAAAAAAAAAAAAAAAAATAATGTAAATAGCAAAACAATGTTTGCAGGGTCAGGTAGTACGATATAATCACATTACAGTCAACGTTGGATGTTTAATACTTTACTACAAAAATACCTTTTATGACAGTTGTGAGAAAGTTGATCGGAAGTGAATTGAGACCTTTTATTACGAGAATTGCTCTTCTATTTAGACCCTTTTAATCTGTTACCTCGTTCACCATACAGGTGAACGAGGTAACAGATTAAAAGGGTCTAAATTTATATATACTTACAAAATTATTTTTGTACGCATTCATAAATATTTTTGCAAAACAATTGGAAAATTCGCATCAGGCGACTCAATAATCTCGAAACGAACACATAGGGAAAAATAAATACAGAATCTGATACTTACAGGGTTTTATTTACACTTAATCCTGCCTACAAATATCTCAACAACAGCCATTTAGTGTCCATTTAGTAGTCCAATGCTGGACAAAGGCTTCTCTTTAGAAAGTCGATTTTGGCGTACTGTACCACGACGGCCAGACGGGTATAAAGTTTGTTTCAAGTTTTCCTTCTCTTTACAGTGCTGTTATCCTGCAGAGTTTGTACTCTTGCGACATCCACGGGATAAATAGGGGTGGTGAGACTCCGTAGGCTTAATCCGTCATCACACGGACAGATAACAAATATCTCAATTTGAGTCAAAAAAAAGTTCTTAGTGTGTTTTGCACTATAAGTTGTGTATATCAAGGTAATCAATAATTTAATCGAGGTAATAATTACCTCTAATGTATTATATAATAAGTGGTTACTCTAGTTTATGGACACTTGCAATTTTCTAATTTAAAAACATAGTTGCGAAAGTGTCATGCTGTAACTACTTCATATTAATGTGATTTGCAAAAATCTTGTGTCATAGTGACATGTTTTATGAAAATTTGCGAAAGACAGACTACAACCTTGGATTACATACACCCACGCTTATATCTCCGAAGGGGTGGACAGTGGTGTATTTAACGCCCACACTTTGAACACTATTTTAGTTCCACTCACGTTTAGTCGTTTAATAGTGCGTTTAATGTACATAAGCGAGAAGGAACAGCCTGGTTAGTTACTTACCCTAAAAGTTTTCAGCAAATGTGTCCAGATTTCTTTCAAATCCAACAAACTGTGGTCCAGTGGCAATCCTATACTTCTTAGCCTCTTCTCAACTTCCCTGTATTAAAGGAAACTATAAAGTATTGTGCTAAAAGACCTATAAACATTATCATCAATGCTACATACCGCCATCCACGATTCTGGTCCTTAACAGTTTTAAATAGCTGTTCTAAATCTGTTCTTGAGCTAATTAAATTAAACACCCATTCTTCTTGCCCTGTACAGTTACGACCATATTATTTATGGGAGATGAAAAATTTAAGTCACTTAGAACGAGACATAGTATTATAACAGGCGCTTTAAAGTTATAAGGGTCCAAATATGACCATCATTAGTGTCATGACAGACAATAGATCAGTGTTGAATAAATTGAATTATTCTTCCAATTAAATATTAATAGTTGTTTTTATCCTAATCACAACTGACAATAAATCTTTTAAGCAAATATTTAATAAATGCTAATAAAATATATGTAAAGTGCTAATATAAATAAATTTAATTTCAAAATTTAATTAATGTTTAATTTGATTAATAAGAATCAATCATATTCACTGTCATTAATTCTAAATCAATAAATGCTTTGCTTATTTTTTTAATTTGTTGATCCCAAAGTCCTATTTAGAGTCAGTTGAGTTCGTCATCTTTTTAAAAAAAATATCACAATACAGGATAGGTTATGTGTAATTGTGTATGTTTCCGTAGGTAATTTTAAGATTTAAAAAAGTATATGTATGTAATACTTACACCCGGCGAGTGGATTTAAACTTAAAGTTGATTCGCCCAGATATACTTCAAACAAGTGATGGTACACCCAAGACGTATTATTTGTTGCTTTAGCTTTCTGATATTCCTAAAAAAAAAACAATTATATATGGTATACATCCATAAATTAAATTTTTACTTTTTCACTAAGAGACTAACACCTAAACTATGATTCAAATATCAGTAAATTACTGCTTAATGTTACCTTAATTTCAACCAAAAATAATATAATATCGAACCAGAAAGATAAATTATCTTTCTATATTTGGCTGTGCATCGAGACGAATATTTCGTGCAGCGACCATATATTTATTTATTATTAATACATACAAAATTTTCTCTCTGTCTGAGACGGGTTCCACACTGTCTTACATGGGAGCTGGGGCTAATTAGTCCCAATAATATGACGATAATTTTTCTTAACGTAATTTTATAATTTTTTCTTTAACCAGGCCAAAAAATGAAGCTATTTGATACTTAGTCACCACCACCACCACCAACAGCCTATACTAGTCCACTGCTGGACATAGGCCTCTCCTTAGAAAGGAGGTTGATACTTAGTGCTGATTGTAAATACACACGAAAAAAAATACTTACTGCAAATGTGGCTGCCCATTTCCTCCCCAGCTCTCTCGGAGACAACGTTTTTGGAAAACTATACTCTTCAATCATTATTTTTGATAGTTCACTAAAAAAAAAATGTATTGAATTTAGTAAGATTTAGTAAGAATTTATTTATATTAAGTAAGATAGAATATAATATGACAAAACGTAATGACATTTGTTTTTAATCGACAACGATATAAACTTTCATTTATGTTTCCATTATTATTATTTCCATTTTAGTCAGTAAAGAGATTACGTAATAGGGGCTCGAGCAAACTTACTTCCAAGCCCATTTTTTCTGTTTGAACAATAAGTCATGCTGCAGTCTGATTTGTATAAATGTTTCGGTGATGTCTTTTGACCCTGAAACAATAAATAATGTCAGATCCTATAACTCGCATAAAGACTTTTGATTGTACTATTAATTGTGCCATTCCTATTAGATGTCGTTATTCGCCTGAGTGTTTTAAATTAAATAGATCAAAAGAGATCATATTTCTCGAGATATTGGGTCACCAATTGGGGTTAAATTGCTTGTTTAATATATGATTCAAATCTATGTGATTGTTATGCTAAATGTTGTGTATTATATCCTGTCAGACAAATATAAAACCCAGAAAATGGGCTAGAGGTTCTTTAATTGCGTTTTCATTGCAACTTTCAGTAAGTATATTCATGCAGAAGCAGGCTTGAGACGATAACGCCCTCTTTAAATCGGAAGGAGGGAAAGCCAGGTATTTGCAAATGCACCCGATGGTGTGACTGCGAAGCTGTTGAGTGGCTCATCCCTAATAATTGTACGTTGCTATTAGGAGTGTTATCGATTTTATATGCATATCGACGTGTACGTTTCACTGAGCATAATTTTTTAGCGTTTTAAATATGATGTTACCACATTGTGTGTTCGAGACGTTTTTAAAAACATAGGCTTTATTTTTTTTTATTGTAGACGGGGCAGACGAGCAGACAGGCCACCTGATGGAAAGTGACTACCACCGCCCATGAACGCCTGCAACTCAGGAGTCACAAACGCGTTGCCGGCCTTTTAGAAATGAATACAGTCTTTTCTTAAAGGTTGAAGGTCGTATCGGGCCAGAAATACGGAGACGATAAGACAAAATTAAATTAATTCTTTAAATTGATTTCGCTTCGCTGCAACTAACATGCATGACACAGAGAATGTTCATAACAGTCCTTTAGAACTATCAGCATTACTTACAAATAAATTCTTTTTCAATTTCGTTCTTGCTATTCTTGTTCTTCAAATACCGGGGATTATCTCTAAAACAACTCGCAAACACATTAGATGGCTCGTTTTCCAATCTCGTCAAGTATTCCGGATCAAACTTGTTGAGATAACACATCATAGCGTCGTACAGCGGCCAATCGCTTTCTTCGGACCCTTTTCTCAGTTTTTGGCGATGTTTCCTCTAGATCAAAAATTTACGAAAAAAAAAACAAACTATTACAAATTATTATCCCTAACAGGTAATATAATTATTATAATTTAATGCAATGTTAATTATTTACAGGACCGCGACCATACACTATGTATTGAAGATGTGATTGGAGGTCCTAGTGTAAAGCAGCCATGGTATCAATTATTTTTTTTAATGTTAGAAGGGGCAGACGAGCATACGAGTCACCTGAAGGAAAGTGACCACCGCCACCCATGAACGTCTGCAACTCAGGAGTCACAAACGCGTTGCCAGCCTTTTAGGAAGGAGTACATAATAATATATAAACTAGCTTGTTTCAAATCCTTAAGGATTAGATTACCAGATTCACTGACATACAGCGATGAATTGGATTGAGAGACATCGCTGATGATATGGGTCTTGGTTAATTAAAAGAGCTTACCACTCCGTCAGATTAAAACAGCTTTTTACAATTTATAGTTTAAAAACGACATTTAATACGTACACGACGTTTAATATAGGCACGTTATATTATGAGCACATGTAATAGCAAATCTAATCAGTAGTAATATTGGCACACGTTTTAACTTCATAGTTTAACTATAACTAACAAAGTATAACTACATAAAACTAAATTGGGAGCCTCCTTTTTTTGAAGTTGGTTATGAAAGGGTTTAGCACAATAACGATTTTTTAAAATGTTTCTTCTATGGAAAAACTTACATTGAAAGTCATTCTAATATGATGCCATAGGCCTTGTATGTCTTGTATACAGCAGTCACTGGGCAGTTCCTGAGATCTCATAGCTCTTTCAACAGTCCTGCAATATAATAATAATAATACAGCAAAATGTGTAAAAAGAATATATTGCTAGTTCACTGCAATTTGAGTACCATCTATGGTAAATCAAGAGTGCTGGATATATTTTTGACTGGTTTGTTGGTCTATATAGCCAGCGGTGGTGGGTTCGATTCCCACCCAGGAAAAATAATCGTGTGATGGGCATATTATGTGTTCTGTGTTTGGGTGTAATTTATCTTTGAGCGGTCTGGTTGCCATAATTCAGACTCTGGCTATTTTGAGATCAAGTTATTATTATTATAGTTCCAGAGTCTACTTCTACAAAGGTAACAACAGAATCAACACACTTGATGTACCTAGATGGTATAAGACTTTTTTGTCATGACTATCATGCACAGGTTTCTGGTGCATACATACAATTATATTTTTTGACTCTATGTGACACTAATTTTTTTGCAAGGTCTTCGTAATTCTATATTTTACTGTAAAACTGATATACTTTTATAACAAAGTAACAATTTTGTATCATTTCCAGGAAATGGGTACCCTAACTCCTTTTTATCTACCCCTATCAAGTTTTTTGCAAAATTTCATGATGATTTGAAGTAAAACTTCTTTACGCACGCTTGACTTGGGGAGTAAGCTGGTGAATGCGTGATTAGAGCGTTACGAAAAGAGTGATCGGGCGAGCGAACGGAAGTTGAGAATAAGATAGTGAAGATAGAAAGAGAGAGTTACGTTTCGTAATTACTGTAGGGAGCAAGAGAAAGGTACATTTTCTTTCTCTCTTTCTCTCATTTCCAAGAAGTTTTACTTCAGTCGTGTCGTCTAAAACACACTCGTTTTTTTATATTGTTACCTCCACATAGCCAAGATATCAAGGTTATTTTCTTTTGCTTCTGATATACATATGATTAACTTGAGACGCCATTCATCATTCCCTGAAAAAAAAATTTCGTATTAGGTATACATATTACTAAAATACATTTTTCGTCAGTACATTTATATGAAATTAAATGATATTTATTTATACAAGTAAATCTTTTTCAAATATTTTTACAAGTCGGATTTTACAGCTAGAAGGCGCTTATGAGTACAAAATATAAAAAAAATCATTATTATTTCCTGTAGTAGGCAGTAGACATAATGGAAGATAAACAGGTAATTAAGAAATGGAAAACAGGAGAAAATAAAAAAGAAGGAGGATGTGTTAAACTTTACAAATGGCCCTAGCTGGAGGAGAGTGGGGTGGAGCAGAGTACAATGCAAACATTTAAAGGGCACATTAGCCAAAGCATGCTGAAAAAAATAATATAGTATGAATATATGAAAAGAAATAATTTAAAATAAAAACGCTTATTATAATAAAATAATGTAACCCAGAAAATACTAATCATATTATTATTTCTAGATTTTCATTTGTAGTTTTTTTTTCTGAATAAATGATTTACTGAATGTTTCAATTTATTAGATGATTTTAAAATGTGACGATGGCATGGTCACAACTGCATAACAAACTTAACCAGACTTTGAAATAGTAATAAATCATCTAAAAAGTTTTTTCTTTTGTTTTGTTATTATGTAGCTACTTACTCCAATATATATTATGTAAACTTCCAATTTATAGTATGTATGCTTACTATTAAGCATAAGAATTATCCATATTAGCATAAGATTACAAAAACAAACAATAGTTTTAAAGTTTGAAATCATAGCTTGGCACCTAGAGCACACTTTTGAGTTTTTGACATGGCGGTCAGTATAAATACTGTTAAAATGCTGTTATAACAGACACACAAATTTTAATTACCTGTATGTAAGCTTTCAGAGCCAAAAAAACTTAGCAGTATTTAGTAGCTACGAAAATTGAAATGTAAAATTATGAGTGGGTGTGCTTTAAGTTATTTCTGGTAAATACTAATGATGAATCAGTTATTTATACTTTAATCAGATTCTTACAAGAAAAACACTTACTTACTTAAATTTGTACTTACATGACTCATATTTGTCAAGAATTTTACTCTTTCCAAAATGTTTATCAAATAATTTAAAATATTTCCAACTTCTGTTGTTCGTTTTTTTAGCAATTTTGTACATCTGGAAACAAACAGAATATCTTGTAAATGTCAAAAATGACACTTTTATTTACAGATTTTTAGGTAAAGAAAAAAATAGGTGAGAACAATAATAATGTTGTAAGCTAATATACACTTGTACTTATACACTATCCTAAAGAGTTTATCTACTTACATCATAATTATATGACCACTTCTTCCTAACATGATCAACAGTCATCTCTCGGGGAAATCCATTCTCCAGTAGAAGTTTGTGAAATTCACTATTTGAAACAAGAGAAAAAAAACAATTTTATTTCCGTTTTGTTTGTGATTTTAACACATTGTATACATTATATCGATAAATAAAAAATTTATGGAATTTATATTTATATAAACTTTAATGAAATAGTTTGGCACTCACCTCCAGGGCTGTTTTTTAGCCTTAAACAGCCAATCATTTTCAAATCTAAGTTGAAATAGTTTTTTATTAAGCTCAGAGGTCCCTAAACAATAAAATGGAATTATTTCAAGAAACAATAACAGGAAATATTTAGAACGTTTTAATAACTTACACACGAAAGATTTATCACCCATATCAAAATCAATGGTGTAATAGAAATAGGTTACTGAGCGAAAAAGTAATATTAACTTATTTATTTACAAAAAAATATAATAAATCCAGTACAACAATCATTTCTACATGACAATAATTGACAAGTTGGCTGCTAGTTTGACATTGACATTGTTGGCTTATAGTCTTGTAGCCCAAACTTTTATTTATATGAGTAAAACGCTCAGATTCATCAAATTTTAATTTTTTTTTAATTAATTTTATTTAGTGGTAAAAATATGGAGAGATGATTGCTTACAAAAGCATGTTCTATAATTTTTTTTATTGTATTATAAATTTATGATGCCCTTCATTCGTCTTTTTACGCATGGAAAATCCATTTTATATACAATACTATATACATATATATTTCTATTTTTTAAATTTATAAATAATACACCGTTGTCATCGGACTATCTATAGTACAGAACAGTATTTTTTAGTAATATAGGAAGCAAACTACCTAAAGGGTCCCCTGATGATAGTGACTACAGGTATTCATAGGCGGTGGCCTATGAATATCTGCAACTCAGGGGTCACAAACAGGTTGTCAAGCTTTGTGGTGGGAGTACGCTATTTCCTTAAAAGTTTGAAGGAAACTAAAACAACTAAAAGCAAATTATTGAAATTCAAAGACGTTTTTTATCTCTTATTTGTCATTATTTAAATAAATAAATAATTATAAATAAAATGTCATGTCATGTCTGATAGATGAAGAATGAACTTGGTTGAGTGAACTAGCAGTAGCCAAACTAGCTGACGATTCATCTGATGGAAAGCGACTACCGCTGCCCATCAACGCTTGCAACTCAGGAGTCAAAAGCGCGTTGCCGGCCTTTGAGGAAGGAGTACGCTTTTTTCTTAAAGTTACTTACATAGCTTACCAAAATACATACAGCATTACTTTAAATAAGTTGAAGTATAGAGACAAAATAAAATACTATATGTAAAGTATATGTTTTACAATAATGAATGATGTACACAAAGGTTTCGAAATGTCATACTAACCTTCTTTTGGAGATTGTGACTTTTTTACTCGACTAAAAAACTAAAGAATATTTGCAATTCGGTACATCTCTTATTATATTTTGATTCTGCGACTCGGCCTACAATTTTCACGTGGTTTTACACATTTCGGCATGTTTTATAGAAATATATTGTAATTTTGAATTAAATTGGTAAGAATGCATCGGCTTGCATCTGCCAGAAATTTCTATCAAAGTTCATATCATGGGATTTCCTTGACATCGAACAAAACAGTCAGAAATACTTCATTTATAGAAATAAAATGTACATTTTGTCGCAATATTTTGTTGAGCCGACTTGGTTCAGGTAATATTTTAATTCCTAGATACTAGTATCCTTCCATGTGCTTAATAATATGACATGTAAATAAAAAATGATTTATGTGTACCTAGGTTATCTAGTTGCATAACATAGTATTAATTTTTATTTTAGAAAACTTCTATGCAACAAGACATCAATCTACGAAAACGGCTAACTTACTCAATTCGACAAGGAAAAAGAAACATAAAAATTATAAAAAATATGGAGAATTGCTTGAAGGTATGTTTTGCCAACAAAAATAGAAGTACTATTTTAAGCTACCAATTTAAACTTTACTGATACTGTCTTACTATCATGTCGCTCTAGACTTGCTGTTTAAATTGTTCACTTCAGTAGGGAATGACTTTTATTACCTATGTTCAAAAGAAATCGAAGGTTTATTGTTTATAGTAATATAAATACTCCTTTCTAAGGAGAGGCCTATGTCCAGCTGTGGACTATTAAAGGCTGTTGATGTGATGTGTGATGAATAAATACTGAAGACACATTACTACATTAAAACAGCATGTCATTTTATTAAAATTTTAATATTTATTAGCTTAATTTCTGTAATCCATGTTTTGTTTATGTTAAAAGTAATTAAGAAAAAACTAAACTACAACCTATCCACATAACCAGCATGTTCATAGAGCATTCTTGTTATATAAAGTTAATTACTTAATAGAGATATAAAATAATTAATTTTTAAATGAAAATACTTCAGAAAAAAATAAAGTCTTGATTTATTAAGTTGGGCAAATTGTACAGTACCTGACAGTTAAATTAATAAATTTATCAATTCCTAGTGACTCCCCAGAGATTTACCAACATTTATTATGACTTTTTTTGTTATTTTATTCTAATATACATGACCTTGCAACAACAATTTGGCATTGAGACCTAAGTAACATTCAAACAACAACTAAATTTTAATAAGTTGTTTCATACTTATCATTGATTGGTTACTTTCCTAATTCAGACAACAATGGTCCAAAAATATTTTTAGAAATACATATTCCATTCTTTTTTTAGTTGGTGCGCAAGCTATGACTGAAACAAAGGTCTCAATAAGCAAACTACGTGCTGTACATTTATCAAAGCTTGCAACAAGTTCTGTTTCTCTTGGCCAACTGCATCAATTAACTACAAAGCCTACAAAAACTTCAAAGGTGGCCGAAGTAGATCCAGAACTGTTACAGTCTGTTAGAGATAAAATATTAAAGAAAAAAACAACTGTAAATAACCATTCTACAGTTGCGGAGAGCTCTAAAGACATTGTTTTAGAAGATGATAAATGTGCATTAATATATACTAGTCATAAATTAGCTAATAATGAAGATAAATTCAAGGCCAAACAATATATAGACATGGTGAAAGAAAGTTATTATAATTTTAGAAAAGCAACAATTTATGATCAGAGGTTGCAAGACTTGAGGCATGCAATCACTGAAGGATTGACTCAGGAATTCAACTTAGATGAAGTTCCAGCAAGCAAAAATGATCTTTTAAAAGAAAGAAATCAATTCATCCCCTTGACAAAGGGACCCCATGCAGTGTTTAGGGAGCTTTTTGTAGATAGCCAGTTAGATAGCTATGATCAGGAACTCATGAGTCATATTACAAACATACAGTAAGTACTTAAAATGTTATAATTGCTTTTTTATGTATGGTATAACTGACTTTATAGTATTGAGATAAAAGAGAGAGTAGAGCTATGAGCCACTGCTTATATACTTGCAGATTTTTAGGAGATTTAACTCTTAAATTAGAACGTTTTTGTTTGCTATTCATGTTATTGATGAACTTTCCACAAAAAAATTGAGAAAATCTGCATATTCTATACGAAAAAAAACTAAAAAATAAATTAGATGGTAGTGGTCATTGATTATTTTCATAACTGTATTCATTGACAATCCTGTAAAAAGGTAATGACCATAACCAAATTTCAGATCTCAAGGTCTAATACATCCAGCAATAGAAGACATCTATGGTGATCCAGCACTCCACAGTGAAATAGCTGACACTAGGGAAGATCTGGATTTAGATCATATTGACTCTGTTCCTACGAAAGCATTAAAGATTAAACAAGTGTAAGTTATATAATTATATATAATATATTTTTAGCAGTCTAATGTTTCCACAATTACAACTGTGAGTTTTTCTATTTATCGAGATTTAAACATTTGGGTTTTCTAGATAGCACTGTTATGGTATTCATATTTGTTAACAGTTCACGTTAATGTTTTGGGGATCCCAGGTTAGTTTCGGACTCGACAGGGGCCTCCTTTTTATGACAGAAGTGTCCAGCTGCGACGGTTTTAGTCGTTATAATGTCCAACCCATGGAAGAGCTAACCACTAGACATTACTATTTTGTTATTTATACCAATATAAAGCTTAAGAGTCTGTTTGTTAAACACGCTAATCTAAGGAATTATAGGTACAAATTGAAATATTATTTTAGTTTTGGATAGCCCATTTATCGATTAAGGCTATATGCAAAAAGGGCCAACATTTATTCCTTCTGAGAGACGTAATTGCGGGAGTCAGCCTGTGTTTCACTGAAAATAGCATTACGGTCATATTTCGTGCATGTATTTTTTATAGTTTGTAAAAGGTGACTTTATACTTGGATTTATATAATATTATTTAGATCCTTAATGTAATTAAGCAAAATTTATTAAACAGGAAACAAGCAATTAGAGAAAAAAACAAGGTGAAACGCGAAAAGCGTCGAGCGAAACAAGAATTGAATATGAAACAAGACATGAAGCAATTGGAGCGGCAAGGTAAACAAGAATCCTTGCATCGGGTCCTAGCTGCACATTTGCAACTACTCTGCTCCTTAGACATGATACAAGAGGTTAGTCTATTTCACAAAACATCAAAAAAACGTAGCTGAAATATTTGTAAAATTTGTTGTTTATATGTGTGTTTTAATTATTATATTGGTAATTGGTAACTCATTCACGCAGAAATGGTTTGATAGATATAGATGATATTTCGCAACAAAAATACGATTGTAATAGTTCAGTATGTACACACGAAAATCGACACTATATGACTTGGGTCTTAAGTAGTTTCGCAGTTTCATATTGTACAATTTTTTTGGAATATATAGTAAATGTAGGTAGACTGCATGTACGAATTATTTGACAAGCTACTCGTATTTCGATTAGCGTGTCATTTAACATCTGACTGAGAAGATACTCAAGTAGGTCACATCTGTTTGACTTGCTACTTATCTGTTGTAAACTCTAAAAGATGTTGGTGCCATACTTAAGCATTCTTTATCATATAAAATGAAATCTCTCTTTTTAATTTTTTTAGGGTTCAATGTATTTTAGGCCCTCACAAAAAAAAAATCTTAGAAAAAACAATCAGAATACCATTCACAGTCATAGAATTATTGAATTGAGGTCGATTTTTCGTTAAATGAACGGCTGGTATTACTTAAAATCTAAATACATATTATCATCTGCCTACCCTTTTCCCAATTTTATTTGGGGTCGTCTAAATACATATTAGTGTCTTCAAATATTACACTACATAGCATGTAGTAGTAAGATAAATATATTTAACTAATCCGATTTCGTGTCTCAGTTTGTTAAGAGCTAAATCAGGGTTTATTTTTGGTTTTATCAAAAATATCGCCCGCGTTTGATAAGCGAGAACATTGACACGTGATAAGCTACAAGATTGATACTTAAAGAGATTTTTTTATATTTTTTTTTGTTTATGCTGTTATTTAAGGTCAACAATATTGTTATAATTATAAATTGTCAATATTGTTATAAACAAAAACTCTTGTTTTAAAGTACTCAACGTAGGTTTGAGTATAGAATAGAAAACTTCTAAGCATTAAATTAATATTAGTAGCTTCAAATAAACATTGACGTAATGAAAGGCATATATATGGGTTAAGCATCAAGGCGTCATGATGCTAGTTTCAGTGAGTTTAATTGCCAATCGCACACCTGTCCCTGCCAACAGTCTTATCAATGTGATGGATTAAAGCACAACCGCTAAGAGGAAGTCTGGGACGGTCACTAGGACAGCTAACAGGGCAAATATCCAATAATCAACATTGCCAAGTATTAAATTTTCCAATACAGCTCACAATCAGTTATGTAATAATTATTATTAAATATGTTACTAGGGAACCATAATTATTTAAATTTAGAGTAAATCGCTTGCAGGGTCACCAAGTTTTACAGTATTATAGACAACGGGGTTCGAGAACAGTGAGTCATCCTAAAATAAACGATGTTAAAGTTTACAATACACTATTACATGGCTACGCTAAAATGGTAAGTTTTGCTATGACACTTGTGTCTATTTTACTATTCTAAAATGAGACTTTTTATTTTGACAGCTTGTTTGTTTTGGTTTTGCCTGTTGCTCCGTTCGCGTAAAAGCAATTTTGCCTTGAACGTTTTCTTTACCGTAACGTGTATGCTACATTTTATGAAGATCTGAAATTCGACGTTGTAGCATCGAAATAGAGTCGAATTTCAAACGAACTTAGTCTGAAGTTTGACGCTGTGGCAGCGCTGTACGCAAGGCTGTTTCCTTAGAGAATAGCACTGCAGATTATAGTTACGTAGATGATAGCTCGCAAATGATAACGCATAAAATAGGAACAGAAAAACATTGATTCTTCCATGAATATTTCTGGACAGAGAGCATAATAATGTCAGCATGTAGTTATTCTTATTATTTGGAATTAATCACCAAATGGTGCTGATAATGCGATAAATGATCTTTTAAATATCTGCGTTTTCAGGGATCGCTGGAAGACACACAAAAAGTATTGTCATATATGTCGCAGGATAAAATACAAATGAACGCACAAACATATGCAGCAATGTTCGAATGCATTGAACGAAGCAGAAAAAATCCCGATGAAAAATTAGATTTACTCTCTCATTATGAACAAGAAATGCGTCATAAGGTTAGTATGGTAAAAAAAAACTTGAAATGATACATCGTGAGAATAATTAGTAGTTGTTACTATAGCAAGTTGTGATTCATAGTCTTACCAGTCAATGTTACAAGGAATTAATACTGAGACAAGCGAGGCAGTTACATGTAGATTGCCTACTATATATGCCTCACTAGTCTAAGTATTACCCACCTCAGTAGAACCCATACTATGGAAACAGGACTGCTAATAAACTTTTAAATAGTACTTATCACATACAAATAACTCACACCCAGATAGAAAACAAATAAGTGTGATCATCACACAATTGGTTGCAATAGCACAGGCTCTGTCTAGTTTGGGACGGCCGTGTGTGAGATCATCAACAGCCTATACTAGTCCACTGCTGGACATGGGCCTCTCCTTAGAAAGGAGGTTTTGGCCTACTATACCACGCTGCCCAGACGGGTTGGTATAGGGTTTGTTTCAAGTTTTCCTTCTCTTTGCAGTGCTGTTGTCCTGCTTAGTTTGCTCCCTTAGTCGGCTCTTACGACACCCACGGGATGAATTGGGGTGGTGACAATTTGTATTCTTAATCCGTCACCACACGGACAGTGTGTGAGATATGTTATTATTATTATTAATTATTTGTTCTGGATAGGACCAACGAATATCATTAACCGCCTTTATTAGTCGACTGCTGGGTTATATTAATTTTCTATTTTTAATTTTCCAGAATATAACCTTGAATGACTTACTAGACAAGACAAAGTTTCTGTACGATCAACGTGAAGTAGTTTTACAAGCGATACACAGGATACAGCCGACATTCGAACCAAATTATACGCGACCCGTACTCGACTACAACTGCCGTTTACTAGACCGGTTAACATTGAACAATGTTGAGAATAGACAGGGGCTACTGACGTCACCGGTCGGAGACGTCGTGTCGCTGGAAGAGATGATAAAGAAGGGGAAAGAGCAGTTGCAATATGAAATCAAAGGCGAGATAGACATACAGAATATTGCTGTCAAGGATGAGAACTCACCTAACGTCGTCTTTTGCGTAAGTATTAATTGGTTTACTATATCGTTTCATTTAAGAAACGGCAGATTTTCTTTTCGTTTTTTTATCTGTTAATATTAATAAATAAAGAAACTTGAATATATATAACTAGCGATCCGCTCCGGCTGTGCATGGGTGCAATGGAGATAATACTAATACTTCTAATGTGGTGTCAGCGTGGAGTAATTAATTATACTATAATTATGATAGGACTATTTACTACAGGACATCTTTAAATGCAATATTTATAGGCTCGCTCCGATCCTGCCGGCCGCTTCCACCCGGGACTGACGTACGGCTCGACAGTCGTTGGCCTCCGCATTTTAAACCTCTAATATCTTCTGAAATATTCATTTAAATGATATGCCATAAAGAGTATCGTAACGTATTTAATTGGATAAGGAATAATATATACAGAATAATAAATAAGAATATAATCGTTTTAATTACCACATATATTATACATAATTATATATCGTGGAACGCGAAACTTAGTGTAATTATTGAACATATTTTTGATTAATGTATTTGTTATTTACAGAGAAAGAAACTTGAAGCGACAGAAAATGAATGGCGTGGTGTGATTCGCGAAGCGTTTGTACGAAATCTCGGTACACTTAAATCTCAATGCTGCGCTTCGCATTCGGCCATTACTCTGTATCCCTACCTTAAAGTATTACAGGTAGGTATTCTTTAATTAAACAAAAATAGTTTAATTTTATATCAATGTAAGTTAAGCAGGGTTAAGGAGGTGACGATGCCAATACTGTTAGCTACAATGATCTGTTTGAATCGGAAATCATTTGTACTTACATAAGCTTCTTACAGGTTGATCAATTCGTCGATTTGGTCATGGGTGAGCTTAGCAAACTGGTTGATGGCAGTGAGACGTACAGTCCTACGCTAAAACTACTACAAAGGGATTTAGGAACTCAAGTATATCACAAGTAAGTCCCTAAAATAATTTTAGTTATAGCTTAAACAATTTGCCTTTCTTAACAATTGTCGATATACAGCGTTACGTTTTGTATATTAACTAATTTATATTTAGCTAATTACAGTTTATGAATTTACAAATTTGTTAAGTTTGACTGTTAACAACGTCTAATATGAAAATTTCATATTAAGCAGTTAAAAATAAGCGGATGTTTCTGCGTTCAATTTATGAATTCTTACTTGCTTCACTACATACAATACTAGAATAGGTAAAGTTTACCTTACTGCACCACTTCAAAGTATACTTCACTTACACACAAATATTAATATTCTATTAACACCATAATTATGTACAAAGAGTGCATGTCCATATAAACCAAATGTCCATAAAACACAGGTTTGAATCTAGCTCATGAACTTTGGGCATAATTGAACTACATAAAATTATAATACACACCTATTTCTAAAAAAAAACTTTTTTATCTTCATAAATATATTTTTAGATTTTTATTATTTTGATATTAAGATATATTATCAAAAGATACTATCGCAATATAAATACAGATAATTTTTAACAGATAATTAGTATTGACTTGATCAATTATACGAAAGCATTTAGAGGAGAGGAGTGATGATTTGCGTAAGATGGCTGGCAAGAGCTGCATGGCGTGCAATAGAAGAGGCCTATGTGCAGCAGTGGACTGCGATAGGCTGATGATGATGATGACAAAAACTTAATACTGTTTTTACTAGACTTGCAACGAATATTCGGTTACTATTCGGTATTCGGCCTATTCGGCTGCTTTTATTATATTCGGCCGAATACCGAATATCTACATATTATTCGGCCGAATACCGAATACTTAAATAATATATTTTGTCATTGAGAAATAATTGGTGAAATGAAAAATTAAAATCCATTGATTACGTATATATTCATATTTTCATTTCTGTTATAATCATTTAAGTAGTCATTGGTGCATAACACAGGTACATAATCATCTTCTGAATTGGAAAAATGGAGGATTCTTTGTATTTGAATTATTGTGGTAATCAAAATTTAGAAGGGTAAGGTTCTCATTTCTTTTATAATCATTTATTAAGTAGTCATTGGTACATAAAACAGGTACATAATTTAATTCACGTCTGTACAAGTTTTTGGCGCTAAAATCCAGCCGAATACTTTTGCCTAATATTCGGCTATTCGGTCAGGGGCCTCGCCGAATATTCTATATTCGGTATTCTGCCGAATATACTATTCGTTGCAAGTCTAGTTTTTACCCTAAAACATAAGTAATATAATTTGAAATTTCATTCACCATATTTTATCATAGGTATCAAATAGAACAATACCGGCACAACGGCACCCTGCAGAAGATAGAGCGTATTTACGAAAAGTACTGCGAGTGGTACGTGAAGCGCGAGTCGGTCGACAACACCGGCTTGCCGTACAACGGCCGACAGGCGTGGCAGACGCTCATACATTTGAATAGAGAAGGTCCTAGTATGGTGAGTTTAAATATACGTATGTGACGCTATAATATTTGATGTAGAATGTAAATTTAAGTTACTTACAATATTTAAAAACTTCCGTCATCCAAACCACAATATTAAAAAAAAAAAAACCACTATCTCAACGTTTTTCATTGATGCGCGGCACCTATTGGTAGCCTGATGTTAAATAGCCTTCCTCGATAAATGGGCTATCCTACACTTAAATACTTTTTCAATTCGAACCAGTAAATTCTGAGATTAGCGCGTTCAGCTATATAATATTAGTATGAATAGTAAGCATCAACATTACCTATGTATATAGCTTATATCTCAACTCAAGAAAACCCGAAAATATTTTTGATATATAATTAACATATAATTGATATATAATTACAGAATTAATCGTTTAATAAATCAGAGCCATACAGGACAACTTAAGTATTTCCGTATAACCGGCGACCAAGTGGTTGGTGGCTCTAAGTATGTGAGATATAAACTTATAAATCGAATGTCGGTCGGCAGTCGATGCAGTATCGAGTAGTCGCATAATCTTTGGCCGCAGATGCTACACCTATCACAAATACGTTTTAGTTTCCAAACATTAATTTTCGGTAAGAAATTGTAGCAAATATTATTTTCTTATACAGGATATAGAAGAAACACCGTGGCCTATAGAAATGCGTCAAAACATTGGCAAGTTCTTATATAACATCATAATAAATGACGTCAAAATTGATGTCAACATGTTCAAGACGAAAGGGAAAGAGTGAGTATTTAAATTCCATTTCTTATGATTGATCGGGTCATACGAGTCACTGAGTTTTCGGTTCGATATGAAGTGACTCTTGTGAATATTTATTTAAAAAGCAGATAAAAACTGCGTTTTGCTGTTAAACAGAACGTAATTCTGTATAATATGAAGGTTATATGAAAGGAATATGAAGCGATTTCATTTATCTATTTTCTTGCTTTTCTTTTAAATATATTGAACTGAACCAATTTTTAATGAAATTTTCATTCAACATGCTCTGAGATTTACCTTTATCTTCATGGAGTACACGAGTATCCGCAAAAGATAATATTATAAAAAAGTACTTGCATGAACCAACTTATATTGGAAACTAAAAATAATGACTTGTGATAAAGGGAATTTTTGCAATAGAAAGAAGTTGCCAGCGGTGTACAAGGTGCACCGGCCGTGGGGCCGCCTGGTGCGGCTGGAGCTCAAGCCGCACCCCGTGCTGGCGCGCCTGTGGGCCGGCGCCGCGCGCCGCGACCTGCGCATGCGCGCCGCGCTCACGCCCACGCACGCGCCGCCCGCGCCCTGGGCCCGCGTTGACCGGGGCGCTTTGCTACTCACGCACACGCCCCTCGTCAGGTACGTCTCTACTCACTCACGTACGCGCCCTGTGCCCGCGTCACCCAGGGCGCTTTGCTACTCACGCACACACCCCACTTCAGGTACGTACCTACTTACTCACATACGCGGCCTGGGCTTCGTCGCCCGGGCCCTTGGGCCTTGGGCCCGCAGCAAAGTTGGCATTTCTATCCGAAACTATCCAGTCATACACCATCACACGATCACACATTGATGAGAATTATAAGACCCACACATTGTTTTTTTTATCTAGAATGCCATTTAACGTGACGTGTCAATTGAAACGCTTCGAGTCTGCGCCGACGGAATCGCTGTACCCTGTGTTAGACAGCCTCAATCAACTCGGCGAAGTGCCGTGGGTCATCAACAAGCCTATACTTGACTTGCAGATACAACTCTTTAGGTATGTAAATACTTAATATTAATAATCGTTTTCACACAAGTTCATTTTTACATAGTATAAAATAAAATAGATTTTTTAGATCTTTTAAACTACGCAACGACTTTTAATGCGGGTTTTACAAATAGATAGAATGATTCAAGGGACGGGTTTATATATATATAGTATATGCATAGGATAGTAGAGGAGAGCCGAGAATTTCAAAAATTTACAAATCTTTAAACTATCGAATTTCCCGATGTGAAGTAGAAAACATGTTTATGTGCACTTAATTGTAAACGCTGGCTTAACTAAGGTTATAAAAGAGATATAGAGACTGGAGATAGATAAAAATAGCGTACTGTCTATCTACGATGGTGTATGTCTATCTTCTAAGGGTAACCACCAGTAACCATTTTTATCTTTTACATTACATATTACAAAATATAATAGGTAATTTACAAAGCTATTTTGTACAATACAGTATTATTCCTTATCCAAATAGTATTTATTTGGATAAGGCATAATACTGTATTGTAAATTAGGTACGTTGTGTATTTAATGTAGATACAAGTAGCTTTACAGCAAAACAAAGATTTAAAATATGGGGGCAAAGCGGCCGTCGTCGCATCGGCAGTACGTCCGTCCGTCCCGGATGGTAACGGCCGACAGGAACGGAGCGAACCAATAAATATTACCTATCTTTATAGGTAATATTTATTGGCTATATTTATTGGCAAAGATGTCCTGTAGTCTTATCATAATAATAGTACAATTAATTACTCCACATTGATCCGAAATTCGTAGTATCTACATTGCACCGTGCGAAGCCGGGGTGGATCGCTAGTATTATTATATCAATATATGAATTACAAATTCATGTTATTTCTTGATAACATAAATGTACAAGTGTTACAGAAAGGTGTAGTTATGTGTTAGGAGAGTCACGTGCCAAAAATTAGTTGATGAGCTTACAATTTTAGTGAAAATGCTTTTTTTATTTTTTTCTATGCAAATATTTTCTTTAAATACAGAAATGGCGGCAATAAAAAGTTGGACATACCTCCCCCATCATCGGCGTTGGATACGTTCAAGTTCGAGCCCGTCACCAGTGGGGACGCCGCCGACACTTTCAAACGGCGCGTGGCAATTAATCGAGCTCGCGCTGAAATGCACTCGCTTTGGTGTGACTCGCTATATAAATTGTCACTAGCCAATCATTACAGGTAAGTTTAATTATATAACGCTTTACCTACATACATACATATCAACCCATGTCTTTTATCTCCGGTAGACAGAGGCAAATTAAACGCTCATATTCTGCCGATTGTAATTTTAGTTCTACAATAGGATAGGGGGCAAGCCTATTGTCGTGATAGTGAAATAAGTTATAGGTAAGTAAAAAATAAGTAGTGATTAGGGGTAAAATTGGATTCCCCGGCTATTAGTACCCGAGACGGCGTGCGGTTTTAGTCGGTTCGAGTCCGACATGCCACCGACAGGTGGTATCCGAGGGGATTTCCGCATGGAAAAAAAAGAAGTTGTAAAATTGGATAAATTCTTAATCGAAAAGTTTTTTTTTTTTTATAATTTGAATCATGACTCTATTCGATAGAGATATAATGTGATTAGAGATATAAGACAAATCGCTCATAAGTTTAACTTGGACATACGGCTTCAAAAAGTTAGGAATTACTATCTAAAGTTAGGTGTAGACAAAACATGATCGTGAAGATGTTAACGGTCGGTATGTGGGCAGGGACTCGATATTCTGGTTGCCGCACAACCTGGACTTCCGCGGGCGCGTGTACGCGTGCGGCCCGCACGTGTCGGCGCTGGGCGCGGACGCGCAGCGCGCGCTGCTGCGCTTCGCCCGCGCGCGCCCGCTCGGGCCCAGCGGCCTGCGCTGGCTCAAGCTGCACGCCCTCAACCTCACCGGCACCATGAAGAAGAGCACGCTCGACCAGAGGTAACTTACCATCTCTTGTCTTTATGTAGATCTATTTATTTATTTTTATTTAGATTTTACTCAGCGATGATCCATTTTAGATTGGAATATGCAGATAGCATAATGGACAAGATCTTGGACTCCGCCGACAAACCGCTAGACGGAGAGGGATGGTGGATGCAGTCTGAGGAGCCGTGGCAGACGCTCGCCTGCTGCATGGAAATAGCGAACGCTATTCGATCACCTAATCCTGAAGGTATGTACGAGAAAACATGATGTAGGAATAGGAGATAGTCCATTCGCCGTAAGAAAATGTGACGTCCTTGCACCCTGACCGATCAGGTTCCAAGCTTTAGCACGAAACCATGATTTCTTAGAACTCGATTAGTCAGGATTCGGAAATCGATCTTTGCGAATATTAAAACTTGTGAGTTTTTGGAAACTATAGTTATGAATGAATGGTAATTATGGTAGCGTAATGGCCTGAGGCACGGGATTTGCTATTAACCGGTTGCGGGTACGAACCCTTTTCAACTGAATACCAGTTGAAATACACTCTTAACGCAAACAAGTTCCGAAAATTGTAATAGAAAGAAAAAAAAATAGTTTAAAAAAACACGCTTTTTATAGAAAACCAAACTAAAAAATAGAAAATAAATTTGAAAAAAAAGCGTTGGGTGCCTGTTGTCAATAGTAAAAAGCACCCCAAAACTATTATTTTTTAAATATATATTTTTTAAATTAATGTATTGTCATCGGTCCTCGATATATCTACAAAGTTTGAACGAATTCTGACCGTTTAAAGTCAGTCAAAATCACGCCCAAAGGAGTCGGTTACAAACAAACATACAAGTGAAGCTAATATAAAGCGTGTAAAAATGTTCAACGAATATAAGTGTACGTGTGCGCCCTGCTCTAGAGTTCGAGAGCGGGTTCCCGGTGCACCAGGACGGCTCGTGCAACGGGCTGCAGCACTACGCGGCGCTGGGCGGGGACGCGGCGGGCGCGGCGGCCGTCAACCTGGCGCCGCGCCCCCAGCCCATGGACGTGTACAGCGCCGTCGCCGCGCTCGTGAGTACCCGCTTACACTGCCCCTTCCGACCTCACAGGCTTCACTCCCGCTCAGGGAAAGGGATTACTCCAAATATATATGTCTATTTGCAATGATTGATCCACTTGTTTCTGGGTTACTTGCCAAGAAAATCTGAACATGTTTATTAATATTCTAAAAGCTATAGTATAATAAATCTGGTTAGTTCTTAGCGCTGTTTATATCCCAGAATATTAGCACATCACACCAAAGCTATGTAAGATTTCAGAGCTAAGATTTCCGGCCCTAAAGATCTAATGTAATAAAATACCATATATAAAAAAGTTAACATATTGATAGTGTTACACTGCCGACGACATCACGACTGATTTAATCAAGGGAAGAAAATTGCAATTGTCGCTGTTGAAATACATTTTTCATCGGTTGAATGACGGTGGTGAAGAGGGAGCGATGCAAGTCGTATCATCAGCTTGCCGCCGCGATAATTAACCAGTCAACTGCTCCAGGCCTCGACGCCCGCACGTTACGCGCCACGTAGTTATCTCACTGACATTGGTCCTTCGAGCCGTTAATTTAGGCGCGATAGCTGAGTAACACTAAAAGTAGTATAATGAAGATTTTAATGAAAAATAGTCACGTCTGAAAATAATTACAAATTTCAATGAAAATTATGACAAGTACTTTACTAGAAAACCTCGACACCACTTAACGGAACGATCGCCGCGAACTTTAACTTATAAATATATGAAACAGGATTTAATGTTATAACAGGTAGAGGAAATGAGAGTACGAGATGCTGCCGCAGGAGTTCCCGCAGCCATTATACTGGAGAACTTCGTAAGGAGAAAAGTAATTAAGCAGACGGTAATGACAACCGTGTATGGAGTTACTAGATTTGGCGCTAGGCTACAGATCGCCAAGCAGTTGAAAGGTTAGTGTTGCATTTTGTTGAAGAAAACTCAAAAAAGAATCAACCAAGTATTTTTTTAATAGTGTTTATCTGAAACCAAACGTTCTATCTAGTTTCACGAACAGTTATACTCAAATAGTTTTACCCTGCCAAGTATCACTATGGCACATTGTTTTGAGTTTTTGATGCACACACAAACAAATTTAACATTTATATATATAAATAGATTTTAGTTTTGTTTATCTTCATCATCTTTATAACAAGACTTTGAATATATATATATGAGGGGTGTGTTGGCATGCATCAGGTATAATTACCTGTTAATTATGTTTGCTTCGCTGTTGCTCACCTAAAAGTGAACATTGACAGCCTGCTGTTCTACAAGACAGTGATCTAACCACCGCAGTGGTACCAATCACCCCATCCGAATACCCAAATCGAATAGATTTCACGTTCCGCTTCGTTCTGCGACATATATACAGATGTTTTTTTTCCAAATAGTCATAGCGTGATGTTAGGTAGCCTAAAACTTATTAATTGCACACAATAATAATAATAATATTTTCGGACGTCTAACACACAACGTCAACACGACAATATATCAAATCCGAGTTGTAGTGTCAAGGATTAGCGCATTGCGAACAACTGAACATAACAGCTTTATTATAGAAGTTATTAAATTAAAATATATAATTTTGTTTCAATTGTTGAAGAAGTAACTTATCATATTTTTATCAGACATTGACGAGTTTCCGAAGGAGCATGTTTGGTCGTGCTCGCAATACCTAACGACGAAAACGTTCGACAGTCTGCGGGAGATGTTCACCTCCACCAAGCTGATACAGGACTGGTTCACGGATTGCGCCAAGTGAGCTCTAAGTTTATTTACATTTTACCTGCGACATTTTTTATCGATCTCTTCTGGTACAAAATAAATTGTCATTTTGATGGTATTAGTGGAAGATGAATGATGTGTCGAGTTAAGTACATTCGTGTGTGCAGGCTGATCTCGGGCGTGGTGGGCGAGAGCGTGGAGTGGGTGACGCCGCTGGGCCTGCCCGTGGTGCAGCCCTACTACCGCCGCGCGCCGCCCAGCTCCGCGCACCACTGCCAGCCGCCGCTCGACCAGCAACAGTCAGTACTCACACTTCTTCTTCCCATTCTAATCATTTATTGGTTTTAAATAGGGTAGTAAATAATGTGGTTATTGTATTACAAGTTTAATATAAATCGAACAGGCCCGTATATGAAAAGAGCATGCAAATTTAAGAAATGATTAAAATAACTTAGTAGCTACCTATATAATATTATTATTATAATAATGTACCTATATATTATTATTTCCTCGGGTCAAACTCAATTTTTTTTTTTATAAAATTATTTGAAATAGTCTCTTGTGTAGACTCGAAAGTCGTAGACCAATAGCAACAATCTCTATTTTGTCAAATATTTAGCAATCTAAATATATACGTATCGAAAATCTCTTATATGCCTGTGCCGATCACCCAAAAAACAACCGCCCATTTCCAAGGGATTGAGCCTCATGAGAAGAAGGGCAAACAAACTCACGGCCACTCTTTTTTAATAAACAGATAAGCCTATGGCATCATTAAATATAAACAACATTGTTTTGATGTATGTCATTATGTAAGTTTTAAGGACTAAAAGGTAAAAAGGTAATGGAGAGAAAACAAGATAAACAAGTAAAACTTAAAAAAATGGAAAGTTAAATAAAAGACACCCTAGCCCACATCACATTTCCGCTACTAATCCCAAGCATTCTTATCTTCTATGTAATCCACAATTAAGTAATAGGCTTTCTGACATAGTTTACATTTTAATGCATGGGCACCTAACGCTGGTTTTCAGCTGCAGCCTAAGACTAAGCCTACAGCCTAAGCCATACGATCGTTATGATAGTTTAGTTTGATGACAGATTAGGAAGAAATATGGATTTGAAAACATTATGAATACAATAGTAATTACATAATAATTTGATTTTTAGGGCTCACGCCTACCACGTAACATTTATTATAGACACACAAAACAACATAAGCATAAACGCAATTACACTATGATAAAAATAATTTCACACAACACTCGTATTCGTCCTAAGTGGGAATCGAACCCACGACGAGCCTCACAGTCGTTCATCACAGTTATCTGAACACTTAAGGTTTGGAAATAGTTATTTATTACTTCTTAACACTACTCAAGACATTCACGGCACGACACGGATTTTTTTACATTATAGTGTTGAGTGATGTGGGTCGCTCCAGAACGATCGTATAGTAAGTACGTTAAGTTAGTTGGTCCATGGCCCCCTTACAGCCTGCGCGTTCTCGGTTATTGTTGACATTCCATCTTATTTAATTAAGTAAATTTATATAGTATAAAGTGTTGTGAATAGACAATATATTCTGTGTCGCGTTGTGTATATTGTGTGTCTCTTGCTTGTACTCCTTCTGTCTTTTAAATAGTATATCGTGTTGTTGTGTGTATAAATTATAACAGTAAGTGGATATTGACTTTTATTTATATTCACCCGTAAGTACATATACTACTCCACATAACTATAGATTGATTTAAAATATTATGAAAATGATAGTAATAGAGGTGAGGTATGGCACAACACAGCATCAAAGGTCATGGCTCGCTCTCTTTTTTATATGCGCTAGGAATCACTCTGACGTCTTCGTATTCCTTCTGATGTTTTAGTAAGAATTCATTTCATTTGGTTTTGAAAGAATAAGCACTGGAGCAGTATTAGAGGTTTCGTGATTGCCACTTTTTTTTATTACAATTCTTTAGTATTCCTTAATAAAAAAATATTGCATTTCCCCAGGCGGCCATGCACGATGAAACAACGCAACGCCTTCCCGCCGAACTTCATCCACTCCCTGGACTCGTCGCACATGATGCTGACGGGGCTGCACTGCGAGGCCAGCGGCGTCACCTTCGTGTCCGTGCACGACTGCTTCTGGACTCATCCGCATACCGTCGACATCATGAACAAGGTAACCCTATGATTATTTCCACTTGCGGAACTTGCTCTAACTAAGCTGAAGAAAAATATATGTTATTAACACAGAGCAAACATTGAACAAGTTATGTATTTTATGTTTACAGATTTGCCGAGAACAATTCGTCGCTCTTCACTCGCAACCGATTTTAGAAGATCTATCTAAGTTTATGGTGGAACGATATAGTTATAACGAAAGGTATAGTAACTCAGTAATTGTTAACATCTAATTTTTTTACTAGATTAATGGCTACTAAACAAGTAAGATTTTATTTCGGCACGGCAATGGCTTACTTTGCTACTAAATAACTTTTTTAGTAGCAAAATTAATTGTATAACTAATAAAGAACAATAATAACCATTGTATTAAATAAATAATAGCAATACATATATGTGGATTTACAATTTGTCCAGAACACAAAATCATACTATTACACTGCAACATTTTACATAATTATATTCTTCAGGTTTCAGGTCACTGCACAAAAATACCAATTAATGCTTAGCTATAAAAGTTAAGAACTTATAGTGAGTCTGTCTGAAGTCATGAACCAATTAATGTGTATGTTGAGAAACTGTATCGAATAAAAAAGTTGCATTATTATTTCAGTGAATTGGAACACGGGAACGCAGGCGCAGCCAACAAGAAACGTGTCAACAGCTTGTTACAGAAGGTGCCCAGTAAAGGAGACTTCGACCTGAACAGCGTTCTCAGATCTGTCTACTTTTTCAGTTAATATGTACCGCAGGTGCCTTTGTAAAGTAGAGTTTATTATAATACGAATAGATTCGTAGGTTATCAATTCTCAGAGTGCAATTACCATAATTAAATGATTTATCTGTTTCTTGAACAATTTAAGTCTACTTATTTGTGATGATGAGAATAGTGGGTCTGGCAGAAATTTGCCAACCGTCTCGACACAACGTCAGTATTTCTATAATTTAGATAAATCCTGATGTGATACCACAGAAAAAGTGTCTAAAATTTATTCATTTAACTTAATAAGTGTACATATTTTTGAATGCAATAAACATTCTTTGCAAAGGAGTTCCCAATAAAATACTAGTGCTGTATTTGTTGGCCGATTAGTTTTACAATGTGAACCACTATTGGATTACTGAGATATAAAACAAGAGAGGTTAGTTGATTTAAACAAAGAAGCTACTAGAAAATAAGACAGTAGTAGTAGAGGGGATGGTGTGTCCTTTTTCTGTAAACTGGAGATTTTTAACGTCACTAAATATTTATGCTGTCTTTTTTCTGAAGAATACTGTCTCTCTTTTATACAACTACCTAATCTTAAAATAAAAAAAAGCTCAAGTAATCAATTACCTCACTGAGAACATTGTACTGTAAATGTTAAGGCACTTCCAATGTTAATGATTTTCTGTTAAAAAGTGCACTGCATTGTGTTATGAAATGTAAATCCTAACGATATAAAGGGACTAAGGATAGACTGAAGTGTATGTATGCTTGTTGAACGTCTTTTTGTAATTTTCTATTAAATGGTACTCCCAGCCAGTAGCATTGCACTAAGGATTGTATTGTTCGTCCATTTATCTAATAACTTAGGATTTATTATGAAAGTTGGGACTGATATTGTACTTTTACTAAAGCTACTTAAATCCTAATTTCGTTTATAATTTGTAATACCTACAATAACACTACATAAAATTTTAAACATTAAACTCAGGCTAGATATAAAAAAAGATTCGCTTCCAAAAACTAGGTTATGAATTGTACTTTTCTTCAGAAGAATTCCTTTAGCTTACTCTTGTAGAGTATATAATAATATAAAAACAAAAAAATGTTATGTTATGTATGTTTGATACATTTTAAGTAGTGAACCAAATATGTATAGCAATAATTTTGATTTTTTTATGATTATTTAGTTGCAATTGTGCATGGAATATAAACTGTGATTGTTAGTAGTTGGATAAATTAATTTCAAATACTTTATATTTTGTTTTATTTTATCAAAACCTAAAATAATAACAATTCACACTGTGTAAGCCTGTAGGCTTAGACCATCATATTGGAACTTTTTGTGATGAATATCTTATTTATTTTGGTTAAAAAAAGTAGACATCGTGATAGAACTAAGTAAATAAAAAGTCATCATCATCAACAGCCATTACTAGTCCACTGCTGGACATAGGCATCTCCTTAGAAAGGAGGGTTTGGCCTACTATACCACGCTGGCCAGACGGGTTGATATAGGGTTTGTTTCAAGTTTTCCTTATCTTTGCAGTGCTGTTGTCCTGCGTAGTTTGTTAATCACCTTAGTCGCCTCTTACGACACCCGCGGGAAGAATAGGGGTGATTACATTCCGTATCCTTAAGCAGACACCACACGGATAAAACACCAATAAAAAAGTAAAGGTATTAAATATGTATATTATACATGATATACAATACCACGTGCATTGTATTATTATTACACACATCAAAAAAGTCTAAGCAGCATGTACAGTTTTGAACTTTTGCATGGTTTCTACTATTGTAATATATTTATATTTATTTCTAAATAATAACTAAGCATTTTTTGATGCATTAGTGAATAATTAAGAATATGTGTACTATAACATATGTAGTACCTATAAAATAAAGGTAAAACGAAAGTTTAGACCTATGTCCAGCAGTGGACTATTAAAGGCTGTTGATGATGATGATGAAAGTTCACAAAATTAAATTACGACATTTTCGACTTGACGACGACGATTTTGTGTTGACTTCATGAGATCGTTTATCTGATCCTACGGCAATCGCTCCCAATGCAATTTTAACAAGTCTCAGTTATTTACACTCCGTCCACTTTCTCTAGAACACGTTTCTGGAGCATGCCCCATGTGTGCTCGATGGGTTGTAGTCTGGCGATTGTGCAGGCCACGGCAATACCCGGATGTTTTCCGAATTGCCAAGTACTCTCTGGTCCTCCGAGCTGTGTGCAACCAAGACTTTGTGCAAATGGGTGAACATGAACTGAAAACTTTCTTTAAGTTTCAGTGTTCATATTGCCATCTACAGAAGCGAGCTCAGTTCGTCTGGTCTTTATAATACCCGCCCATACCGCCACTGTAACGGTGCGCTTCTTGGTCGCATCTCAGCCGTTCGACGGGACAACGATACACTCTTACCTCTCGTATCAGGCCTAAATCCGAACCGGGACTCATCGAAAAATAAAATTTTATCCCATCGCTCCTGGGTTACACCATTCGTTTCGAAGGGCGTGATTCCCATGTCGTACCTGATTGGGCGTCGTGCTCGTAGGCCGTATTTATACAGTCTATTAATCACGGTTTAGTGGCTGACGACAAGCCCGCTTGATCATTGTAGCTTTAAACCAATCTCCCAGGAGGTTAACATCGGCTGACGTCTGGCAGTCAGTTGTACGTATCGGTCCTGTCGAGCAGTTGTAATCATTCCACTCCTGGGTGCTGCTCAGCAGGATCCCCTGTATTAACATAACACTGCCAAAGAAGACAAATCACGCTCCTATTGACTGACTGATTTCTTCCCACTTGTAAACCTTCCTGCATTGCATCGGCAGTCAAATGTCGTCGCTCCATGACAGAAAAAAGGCCATCCACTCAATTTTTCGTACTGTATGTATATACAAAAACTATATCTCAAAATGAAAAGTGAGATAAATACCAAATTTATCAAGCAACGGAAACATGAAATTGGGACAAAATAATTACCTTTTAATTTAATGAAAACAAAGTAATCGAAAAGTTTATATTATTAAAACAGCCATTTTATTTTTCCGAGAACAAAAAAAAAATGTATAGGTACTAATCTACTTTGCTAAGAAAAAAAAAGACGTGTGGCACTCGGGGACTGCCGCAGTAAAGCTATTGCATAGCATTTTTTATCAACTTAGTATTAATAAACTTAGTATTAAATAATTATCTCAGGAAACCCCTATAGAAATTTGCCCGGCCGGGAATCGAACCCAGTAAGGCAGCGTTTTCAAATTCCACGCGAACGAAGTCGCGGGTACCAGCTAGTATTAAATAATTTTCTTAGGAAAACCCTATAGAATTTAGCCCGGCTCCGGAATCGAACCCACTAAGGCAGTGTCTTCAAATTCCACACGCACAAAGTCGCGGGTACCAGCTAAAAAATCTGTAGGAGCCAGATTGTTCGTCTCCTTTTCCCGGTTCAGACGAACCCAAACATAGGGTGTCCAAGTGCTCCAGGAACCGAGAAAATCAAAGGAAAAATGTCTTAAATGAAAAATTTTGAAGGGTGAGGGGGAGGTATTTTCTGCGGACCTCAATGCAATCATAAAAAAATAAGTCATCCCTCGAAAATACCCTTTCCCCCCCCCTCGCCCCTCTTTAGAAAAACAGAAGTGTTGTTACATGTTACGATACTTTTCAAAAACAGTTATTTTCGTTACGGAATTTCTGGATTCGGTCTCCACGATCAAGGCCCGCGATAGAAGCTATGCAATAGCTTAAAAATAAAATATCAAAGATTAAAACAGAATATCATCCAGTCTCTGTAAATGATGCGTGTTGCTTAGACTTTTTTGATGAGTGTATTATCGAGGCGCGAGGCTTTGTAGTTTTTACAATAAACACCAAATTTAAAAATTAAACTTGTTTATTACAGTACAAAAATTCCAATCTACGTTACAATACCACGTAACCAATTACAGCAATTTAAGACTAGAAACGTTTACCACATTGGGCTTCACTAACACTGGACGGGCACAAGTCTCCGAAATAACTTACATTTAACAGTTTCATTTTACGATTTTTATAACAGTGGCTTATCCCTAAAAAATACGTTTCTCAAATATATTATTCCACAAAATTACCTGGAAAGGCGATTGGATGAATATTCGGTATTTTTTAAAATAAATAAATTTCACATCATACTGTCCACTGCTGGACATAGGCCTCTCCTTAGAAAGATTTAAAAAATTTAAATTAAATTTGATTGTCTTAAAATAAGAAATTATTTAAATCATCCACGTGACATCATCAACAGCCTTTAATAGTCCACTGCTGGACATAAGCCTTTCCTAGGAAGGAGGTTTTGCCACGTGACATAATGACAACGAAATATTTATGTATTTTTTATTTATTTTAAGAGACGAAAGAATGAAATGGATGAATAAGTAAGTATCCTCTGTTGTAAATATCCCTTTCAAACATTGTGAATTAAAATCTTGTGAAACGTATTTTTGTGAAACAAAAGTGCTCGATTTATAACATTACTCAGGTCCAACAATTAAAAATTGTTATGTAGAATAGTAAAAATAGTTTGGCGGGTGTGCAGTCTACAATATTTCTACTTGCAGCATTGTATATAAAGTCAACTAATTACTTTAGGGCTTGCTATTAACAAAGAACTTTCCATGAAATTCGTGCTTAGTGACTCCTACTTTGATTTGTTAAATATTTCCCTCTTATAAGTACTAGTATACCATTTTATAACTACATATTTTAAGTATATATTATTTTCAATTCATAATTATTATTTATGCGGTGGTAGGTTTTTTTTTACAAAAAGAAATATGCATCCTAATGCTTAAAATAACTTATTATTATAATCCTACAGAAATGGGGCATTTTTATATCGTATTATTTTACAACCCTCAAATGTGTAGAACATACGAACATTACAAAAAAGTACCTACGAATAAATTCGGCAGGCAACACCGCATTGGTCTCGAAGAGCTCAATATGATTCTCAATGTTAAATTTGTCTATCTCGAAGAGCTCCATATGATTCTCAATGTTATATATCTTATTTGGGCTTCTCAGCTTTACTTAGCATAGACAGCTCAATTTTAACTATAAAAAATACTTCACTTATAATTTGTGCCGCAATGGGAAATATCCCATTTAATAATAGCTTATGATACACACGCCCATCTCATCCCAGACTAGGAAAAGCCTGTACTCTAGTAACCAGACTGTTGATAAACATACTAATTTTAATTACAGACGCAGAACAAATAATCATGTGATTATTTATACAGAGTGAAAATATAACAGGTCCGCCAAAACTTTGTTAAAAAACGTATTTGGTTTTATTTTTCTTTATTATTTCGAACGAACGACGATAAGAATTTACATGATACCTATAAAAGTGTTATTATGCTATTATATTCACTCTGGTTAAATAATTAATAGAAATAAATTCCTATCATAACATTTTTGCGATTTTCAAGTAAGCTTCAGAATGAATATGCAGCTTTTAACATTTTTTAATTTATAAATTATGTGAAAGAACTGATAGTACAAAAACAACGTAATGAATGGATGTTCATGTCGCCGTCTTTCATAATTTACTTTAAATAAAAAAATATTTAACACAAAGTTAAGCAATCTAATGTCAGTTAAATTAAACCATTGTCTTAGAAATGACAACTGACATAGGTTTATACGCGTCGAGTCTTTCAGAATCCTGGACCTTATATGGCTCGCTCCTTTAAAACATTAAAAGTATCATGCCATCAGAAGTATTGCCAAGAACTTGAAAGTCAAAGTCATCCATAAAATATATTCTGCCTACTGGTGTCTCTGTTTGTGAAATATTCTTATGTCATGGACACTGGTGTGCGGCCTAGCGTTTTGATCGGCAGACTCACTGGAACCGCTGGTTGTAGTGCGCTGACTTAGATCCGATGATCTGTAGGTAAATCATAATTATTAATATTACCACCGACACCTTAACTGAACTCTTTCAAAAGCAATTATAGTCCTAGGAATATTTTTTAATCAAGAAATACCTTTGTAGTTCGCTCTTATTACCAAAAGTTGTGCAAGACTCCGAAGATTAACCTAAAACAACTTTTGCTTTCCATTTTGATTGCTGACTGACATCTATTCATAAAAGTCGGATCTGAAGGCCTCTTCTTTATTTTTTTCTTTCATAAATTGAAAAACATTGATTGGAAAACTAGGTATGCTTAAGCACATATATATAGGGTTATATCTACATGAAAAAAAGGCTTCAATGTCTCTTTATTTTATCATATGGGAACTTCTACGGGCCGTCACCACAACCGAATTTTTAATTTTGATTGCCGGGTACGGTTCTATTCGGGTTGATTTACGATAAGCATTAAAATAAAACAAATAACTAAAATGCATAAATTGATATAGAATTGAACATCGAACCACATTGCCTTGTGAATGCTAGAGCGTATCGCTCGACATTAAGATGGGTAAACACATCGCTAATATGACTAGGATTAGTATATTAAACTAATAAACAATTGTGTTACCAGTTTGTAGTTACTTACAAGGGAGTCAAATTATCGACGTCAATATTCTGTAAACATATCCACATTGGTGTAAGGGCATCATCGTTTTTGGCACATTCACACGTTCCGTTAAACAACAGCAGGTCATCCATTAAAACCTAAAAATATAAAGTAGTTATCAGCGCGGTAAGCTATATGTAAATTTTCGTATCGAGCAAGACGATAGGATAATTTTTGTCTCGAAAATACAACTTGCAAGAGGTATAATAGTAATTTAACCATAAAGCAACACAGGCCACCGGCAGACCGGAGTGTTGCTTTGTTATTTAACAAATGGAATACTAGACGTAGTCGCAGTTAAACGATGATATTTATTTTAGTGTAAGATGACAATTGCGAAATTACAAAAAACGATTACTTTATGACGTCATTAATTTATGGAACTGCAAAACTTGCATGGCCTACTAACAATCAGTAAGATTGTTAGTAGGCCATGCAAGTTTACTAGTTACTTACTCCAAACTCTTTAACTCCTCGTGTCGGGGTCTTGCCGTAGTTCCACATCTTCATACTGTACACAGATACAGGTACGTCGAATACGAAAAATACTCTGGAAGCGAAAAGAAGACAATCGAGTAGATACATTTATATTTGTACCTAGGTCATTATTTTTTTAAACACCATAATATATAGTTATACCCTTAGATGCTCTAAAGAGTATACCTCTCACATCCTGATATACGCAGTTAAATTTTATATAATTTATAATATTTAAGTTAGTTTAGTAATTATTGAGTAGGCACACAATTATGCGTTCATAAGCCGAAAAGCAATGGTAAAACTAAGTAACTCGAAAAACGAAGGTATGTGTGTACTTTTTTTTTCTATAATAGTCAAAAATGTTAATATTTTCAGATATTTATTCCCGCCTAACTGCATGTGTGTGTGCGTACCTGTTAAGGGTGTGCGGCAGGACGGGCGCGAGCCAGGAGTGCGCGCCGTCGCCGACGCGCGCGTTGTGTCCGTCGATAAGCTTGTCGGGCGTGCGCACGTCCTGCGCGCGCGCGTCAAGCACGTTCACGCTCGCCGGGTGCGCGCACACATCTGACAAACAATATTATTGCTCATTCAACTTTACCTACAACTAACATAAACAAGACTCATTTTTTGTCGTAATCAATGTTGGGATTTGATAATTTATAACTGTGATAAAGAATGGACATTAGATCGTGAGTAGTGAGAAAATTTGAAGAAGGGTTTTAAAATATAAAAAAAATAAAGTAGACATTCGCCACTGGACAGAATGTGTAGAGAGATGAACTCTTTCATAAGAGCGGTACCAGATATTGACATACACCATGACTCCATTAACTCATTTAGATAAAAGGCCTAAAGTCTCAAGGGGATAACAAGGAAATGTCATAAATTATGTTGGTCTAGTGGTTTGTGACCCTGGCTGCTAAGCCAGAGGTCGTGGGTCGATTCCCGCCACGGTCAAATAATTATAATGTATTTTGTATACACGAGCTGTGGGAAAACCTTTTTAAATAAAATAAAAAAATAAAAAAAACAATTTGCCAACGGCAAACCTTTGTAAGTATTCCCATATTTAACAACACATATACAAAGTTAAATATTGTTTTTGTTCTATAGGAAGCAAACGATCTGCCGCCCATTGATACACTACATTATATATATGTGATGTATACAAACTTTATTTATGAAGTAATGTGAGTTAACTTACTTGTCTCTGTCAAAGGTATTAAATTCCCGCGTGGGTCATACAGCTCAACACCAGTCAAACCTACATAGTAAGGATCTCCCCATGTAGAGAATATATTCAGCTGCAACACGAATCCGGTCGGCGCTCCCATGTCTAAGTTCGTACCATAGACTAAACAGTCCATTCTGAAACTATCCGAATCTTTCGCGTCATCTAACCTGTGAAAAGTAATTATGAGACATCAGTACTCGATATCGATCGCGATGTCTACAGTACTCCACATGATTTTCAGAACTCGGTAAGCTTATGAGACTACTTAAAAATTTACAACAATCAAATTCCAATTATCTGAGTGTGTTCAATTAACAATTTACTTTTAACCGACCTCGACATAATAGGAGGTTCTCAATTTGACTTTTGTTTTTTTAGTTTATTACCACGGGACTCCCGTCATTTATGAACCGATTCGGAAAATTATATTTGAATTGAAAAGGTGTACTGCCCGTTTGGCCCCATTAAAATTTGAAGAAAAGTGTAAAATTAAGAAATGAAAAATACTGTCTGTTTTTGAATTTATACTATGTCTCCTCCGACACGTTTCTTATAGGATTCGACAGAGGGTGTAAAACCGATCATCTGAATCACGTTAGTCGTCGTCGGTTGTACTTTATTTAAAGGTACTTATACCTTTTGAAGGTATAATACCGGTTGAGAGCCCTCTGCGCTCACCGAAAAGCCCGGGCAAGGTTGTCGAGGCCATCCGAGGTCAACAACCATACATCACACAAAAAAAATGAAGGTGTAATATAGAAATAATAATTTAACATCATTCAAATTTCTAGACTGCATTATACTGAACATGATACATTTTTATACTGAATTAAAACGTAATCAAAAATACGACAGTGTTACCAACCTGTCATCAATGGCGGGCAGTTGTATTTGTTGAACGTAGTCGTAGCACGTGTCACCTGGTGCTCGACGTAGCAACAGCGGCCTGTAGTGTAAGGACACATCGTCCAGGGCTACTCGTGCGTGCTTTACGCCAATGTACGAAAGCTCCATATTTGCGTTGTAATTCCAGATACGGATACCTGGACAGATACTTGCTTTAGAATCGATACCTGACAGTAGCTTAATGTGGTTAATTTATAATTTTACTCCTTCTTCTAGTTTCTTGTTTGGTTTCAGGGGCACGAGCAGACGTATAACCTAAATATTTGTGGCAACACTGAAATGCGTTGCATTTATATGATTTGTGAGGGATTTACATATATGATAGAATTGACAGTTTTATGACATCACAATGATCATCACAGTCATCACATCATGGTTGTTGCTTGTTTACTTTACCTTTAAACCTTAACTGTGTGTGTAAATGTACTACCTATTTTATTTTAAAAAGTAATAATTAATAGTCATTCAGTGGTTGAATTATTTTTGTAAAATCGAAGGACGATAATTTTTTTTGGTTATAAGTTGCTATAAGGTGCTATAAGTTGGTTGTTTTTCAGATTTCATATGACAACACACTTTTTTGAGTGCTATGCTCTTATCTCTCTGGCTGTATAAGGTACCAGCTAGTGCATTTGGTCATACAAGTGTATGATTTGCATGTGGCTTATCTGTATTTCGTACACTACAACAAGAGTACCTTTGGATTGTGAAGAAAGGGCATATACTTCTCACTAGGAGATGTATATCTAGCCTATACTAATACTACAGACTTACTAAAAAAGTAATTATAATAATACCTGTAGTCTCACTCTATTAATACAAACAGGTGTAAATGGTATGATAATATCTATTAAACAACTCGTTTTATATCCAGGGCCCTCATCTAGAGAGATTCTAGAGGTTTCACGAAACGAGCCAGATGTGAGCCTCAAGAGCTCTTATGCCAACCACAAAGGAGGCAACAGGAACCAAAACTTACATCAAATATGAACAAATGCGTAGGTGTGATAACAAGACACTGTTTATTGAAACGGCATCTGTTCGATTGCTACGAGGAAGGCAACTTCTAGACAAAATCACAGGCCGGCGAATCCAGTCTGGTGCAGACCTCGTCTGGCGCAGCCGACAACCTAAACGGACATGGCCAGTAGCTCTTCGTTTAAAAGGAAAAACCTACCCAGGACGGTTCCGGTGGACGCAATGCATCTTTAGAATCCCTTCCGGCGCCAGACGGCTATAGCAGCTGCCTATCACCTGGCTATCACTTAGCGGTCAATCCGATGACCGCAACGATGCGAAGGACGCGCAAAAGCCTGGGATGCTTTTAGACTTTCGATAATGCCTCAGAAAGAAGCGGTGTGAGCACCCCGATGGTATCAGCTCTGGAGCAGTGCTAAGTAAAACCTCAAACCACTGCCGGCTGGCTCAGGATGAATAGTCCCACGGAGTTGTCCGCTAGCGAAGAGACTACGTCACACAAAGTGGGGGCACTTGGCTAGTAAACCTCCACGGGGTGCACCCTGAAAACTTTGGCGGTGACACATTTTCTTCCTACGCTACTTAGAAGAGGGCGTCATCGCCAACGGCTAATATTATAGTATGAGGAGGAGCCAATCCTTCTTCGTCTTGGCTTCGGAGCCATGAGGAGGCAAACCTCGATAAAAAACCACGAAGTCGGGATCCTTTCACGGGTCAGAGTTTCTCCACTGTCAGTGGTGGAGTAAAAAGGACTGGCTCAGCGTGAAGTCATACTACCACCGAGAAGGTTGTAGTTTGAGTCTCGCGACTCCGATCTTGGATCTTGGCATAGCTGTCCAGACTGCGAGGAAGAAAACCTCGATAAAATAATAACTGCCCGGTTATTGGGGAAGCTCTGCCCGGATCGACCTTTATTTCTCCTTGACTCGTAGGCTCAATTGTGGAGTGCAATAATATAAATTTAAATGAAGAAACCAGAAGGTAAAGAAGGAGAAGATGAACGGGAAGGAGAAGGGTGTAAGAGCGGTTGACTTCTAACAAGGATGGACTGTTGCTTGAGACACCTATCACAACACGGCTCCCAGGAGTCAGACTGACTTCTGGAAGCCAAACTGACAGCCAAACGCGGACGCTCCATGGCTGAAGATAGTGACACGTCCCAGGAAACGCTGCCTCTTTCTCTCTCATTTCTACTTTTAGTAAAATACACTATAATTCACAACTTACTTGTTATTTCCGTGGGTTCTAAAAGTTCCATAACAATGTGACAAAATTTTTCACCAGTCTCAAAGTTTGAACACCACATATCTTCGAAGTCTGTCGTGATGTTACGTCCGTTGAATAACTTTTTGCAATCTATGATTTGATTATGTTCGGGCATCTGATCCTCAGAGATGAAGGCCGTGTAAGCGTAGACACGCTGAATTGTTATAGGCTCGTTGTAGCATAATAGTTCAAGACCTATAGTTTAACGTAAAAGAGATAATTAATTTGTTGATTGGATACACAATATTATAGATCTGTATTATTTGGCGACATAAAAAACGTATAGGTAAGTAAAAATTTAACGTTTTTTTTATGTCGCCTATTTTGAAGTCAAGGCCAACCAAGTTACGCAACTTCTTAATATATAGACAGCGACAAGTATGCAGCGAGCTCCACTTGTTTTGATACTCTGTCGTACCTACACTACAAAAAGAATTAGAAAGCAATTCAATAAGCACTTAACTTACTGGTAATTACTTATTAGGTACTTGTTTATGTTAATTATTCTTTAAGCGAAGACAGCCCTAACGTCGTGAGCAAAAGTAAAGATTAAGGGATAGAAATAGAGGCAAAATGTAGGTATTTAATGTTGTAAAATTAAAATTTATTGTATCTGAGCAAGAGTTACAAATTTTTTACCTTTGGTTAGTGAATATGCTTTACCTGTTTTCTGTGGTACCAGAGGTATTTTTTTTAAGAGACATCTCCCGCACTAGGAATGGGTGCCACAAAGTGTCGTCCCATGTGGGGCTCGAACCCCCAACACTCAACGTAGTCGGAAGAGGCATGGCGACCGCTTTAACCACTACGCCATTCGTGCAGTGCATAATTGACTAGATTATTTTTTAAAATATGTATTTAGGTATAATGATTTATACCTGTAAGTCCAATTAATTGTCTTTGACCCCAGTTGGACATAAGAGTAAGCTTCACTGACTTGGCGATGTACTTAGTTTCCTTCTCCTCAATGTCTAACGCTTCCAGCAATGCTGTAGGACTCATGTTGTGATTGCTATCGTTCGCGGTGGGCGGTCTCTTGTCTATCGTATTCGAGTTATCGTGCATAGGTTCGTTGTCTTTCAATAACGCTTGGAAGTTCTTGTCGCTTAACATTACAGATTCCAGAATGGCTGCATCTTTTGTGAAAAGGATTGTCTGAAATGATAAATAATGTTTCTTTTTTACCTACTGTTTATGAGTTTACATAAAAAAATCTTAACACAATACTTAGATTTTACTTTTAATTACATTTTTTAAATATTATTATTACTGTGACACGTTTACATAATATATTACAACAACATATACCTACTCTATTTATCCACAACGACTCAAGGGAAATTAATAACTATAATTGGCTTTGAAGACATGTACCTATTTACATAAATAGTCAATAGACTTGTACTAGCCAGATATCGGTCATATAATAGGCCAGTGCAACTTACATCACCGAAGGAGGACAGAGGACCTTTAAGCTCGCCGCTGGATCTCGCAATCTCTCCGTGGAATATAACTTTGTCGTCCAGTTTAATCTGAACTAATTTGACACCGCGTGTTGTGTATATACGAGACTTGTTGTAATTCTGGAACAAATATGGCGGTTAGTGATACAAGTCTTAAAGTGACCTTTCTCTCATTTTTGAACCGAAACTAAAATTATTATTGTGGACTTAAAATTCATTCACTATGTAGTACCTATAGGTAATGTACGAAGAAATTATAAATTCCACATCTTCGGCGACACACTCAAGTCTGTTTCGCCGCAGATGTATACAGATACAGATGCATATCATCATCATCATCATCGTCAGCCTATCGCAGTTCACTGCTGGACATAGAAGAAGAAGAAGAAGAAAAAATCGATCTAAGTGGCGTACAATGGGAGAGACCTATGTCCAGCAGATGCATATGAAACGCCTATATTTTGACAACTTTAAATTTGTCCCATTTTCGTAAGTAATAGGCACATCTATTGCCAACAAAGAGGCATTTAAGAGTTTTAAGATAAGTAAACTGAGATTATTAAGAAAAGGAGATATAGGTAAACAAAAAGAAACGAAACAAATAAGATAGCGTTAGCGTAGTACAAGCAATAGACCAGAGTAGGGCAGGATCTCATCCCTACAATTATTAGCGGGAAGGTCGACATCTCTAACACAATTCAAACAATTACCAAAGAAGAAATAGATACTGGAACTCACCCATATCCTCAACAAAGCCAGTTTGACGGCTCCCGCTAACAGTACAGTGAGCGCGATTGGATTACCCCGCGGTGACGGCGCGGTCCACGTGTGGCGTTCGTCACGTGTGCGTACAACACCATCTACTATGTTCTCTGCACGTCCATGTTTTGACTGGTCACCCGTATCTAAATCTGTCCATACCTAAGAAACAAGAAAATAAGATTTCCTTCAAACATAGCCCGTTGTAAGCTAATAGAAGGCACTGTGTATATCTAGAGTTGTCTGATGGACCTGGATCATTTAAATAAGTCGCACTTTTTCTTTTCAAGATATGTAGGTACTGAACGTTCTTCGTAGTTTCATAATTGAATATGGCCACTTTCTAACTCGTAAGCGTAGTACTCTGATAACCTATAAAACAGTGGGCTTTTACATTAAAATATTTTTTTAGGTCCGCTTCATGGTTCTATATCATTTATGAGTAGGTATATAATACAACTTCAGATATAGAAATTGTGTTCATATACGATTTTACATGTTATCCTAATAACTGTGTGTATTATTACATTAATAGAAAATCTTTAAAAACAGAAGATTACCTTTTTAACATGAACAACAACACCATCTGCGTCAAACATTTCAATTCCATTTAAGCCAACTAAATACTTGTCTCCCCAATTTGAAAATATTTTCAGTTCCAACAATCTTCCTTCAGGTAACTCCGGTATTATAAATTCACTCTTAACTTTCTCTTTCTGTGTATTCTTCGTAGGAACCGTGCAAAGTGACGATGGTTTCTTTGCAGAATTTTTCAAAGCAGGTCTCTTAGTCCACGAATTATTGTGCTGTAAATTGGTTAAACCATCTTTTGCTGCTATTTTCTTCCGATTTTTGTTTTCTACAAGACAAATAATTATAATATTTTTTAGTTAAATTAATAAACAGTTGGTAATAATAATAATAATGGTTTTAGAAAGTAACCACGGTGCCACGATGTCGAATTGAAATCGTGGTTCAGACGTTTTCAGACCTTTAATAGTCCACTGCTGGACAAAAGCCTCTCCCCAGAAAGGAGGTTTGGGACTACTGTGCCACGCTGGCCCGACGGGTTGGTATAGGGTTTGTGACAAGTTTTCTTTCTTTTTACAGTGTTGGTGTCATGCGTTGTTTTGCGCCCTTAGTCGGCTTTTACGACACCCACGGGATGAGTTGGGGTAGTGACATTCCGTATTCTTAATCCGTCACTACACCACTACCGATTTGCTCACTTGCCCCATATGCCATAAAAAAGCTATTGGTGTAGGAACAGCGGGTTTATTTTAGCTGCGATCTTCTTTTTAGCCGGTGTTTATTCCTTAATGTTACTGTGTCATTGTTCTCCTGCAGAAATATAATTAACTCTTGACAACAATGGCTCAGCAGCAAAGCGAATACAAATGAAGGAACTACTACTTCTCCAGTTTTTCTCCCACGACCCCATATCTTGACATCTATCACCTATAAGCGATATCTTATATATAAAATTCTCGTGTCACAATGTTAGTTACCATACTCCTCCGAAACGGCTGGACCGATTTTTATGAAATTTTGTGTGCACATCTGGTAGGTCTGAGAATCGGCCAACATCTATTTTTCGTACCCCTAAATGACAAGGGTAATTTTTACCCCTAATTTTTTTCCAATATTTCCTAGAAATAATGTCTATGGCAAAACAACGTTTGCCGGGTCAGCTAGTAACTATAGATATAATTTGTACGCAACCTCAAAAATTAGTTTACGGATAAAACTACGCTAATTAAATACAGATACAAACTTATTTACGAGTATATACTTACCTATGATGACGTCACGGAAATCATCGTCTATCCCGTTGTTGACCCGCCTGTGTCTCGGTGTGACGTAATGCGGTAACAAATCTGATAAGAAATCGTTTGAAGATCCATTTGACGATTCCCCCAGGTCCAATTTGCCTCTCACATTGTAAACTCGTCTACCGTTTTGTACGTAACCTAAAATACAAAAAAATTAAAGGTAATAACTTTCGTCACGCTACTGGGTAATTATTTATTAAAGTGAATATATATTATGTACCTGTTAAAACCTACCTATATGTGATATACACTAAGCTATAACAAATTACTGAACTTTATAGATTTATCTTAATATATTTTAAAGCTTGAGGTTTTTTTGTTTAAATGGGAACCGGATTGTTTTTCCTCCTGAACGAAATTTGTACTGTCATTCAGATTTCGTTTTTAAAAGTTCAAATTATTTCTAAAACGTTAGAAAAACTACAGAAAAGAATTAAGGTTCGACTTTCATCCTACATCCGAGTGCGGTGGGGTCTAATTTTGTAGTAGGCTTTTAAGACCAATGCAATCCAACTCTTCGTCTTTATAAGCAAAGGAAATTGGAAAGCCAAGTAGGTGGAATAATTCTACACAAAATATTAGTTAAGTACTCAACATATTAAAAAATATTACACTAAAATACTGCAAGATACAACACATAATACGGCACAGTTTACTACAGTACGTATGAAGCGATTTCTTTTATAAAATAACCATGGTAAAATTACCTTTATTAGGACGCAAGGTGCCAGCTGAGTGCGCCACTGGTGGTATCTGAGGTTTTAATAAAAACTCCATACTGGTATCTAAAGACGTCCTGCGACTTAATCTAAAATGAAAATGAATTGTTGGTATACACATTAACACGCAAGAATCTTCAGTTAGTTTTTAGGTTCCTTAAAAAGTCACAACGTACCTTCGTAACTCTGATTTAGTATTTTCAAATGTGAGTTTTGCTTCCTCTAAAGAAGGAGAAGAATCGGTACTAGTGTGTCGAATGTGTGTCTCTTTCATCTCCCTAAAAGAAGTAAACTGTGTAAAGTCAAGAAGGCAGCGTTATAGATAACTTTTACGATACAAATGTTGGCCCAGCCTTGACACGGAAGTACTTAGTGAGTGCATTGTAAAATTTCCATATTGACGTCTTACAATTAAGAATGAGAATGTTGAACCTGTGTTCATTAATCATTCTACGTTATAATAGAACGAAGCTAAACTTACTTGGTAATGTTTTCAAGCCAGTAAGGAAGATCCTTGTCCTTGCCAGTATAATCGAGCCCTTTTTGTTGATGTGCCATCCTTGAGCCATGAGATTATCGTTATCTATGCACAGAAAATGAGAAACTGCCAGTTTGTAGGTTCATTATATAACTCACTTTTAGTAAAGTTATTCAATTTTAAATATATGTATAAAAGTTAAGATTGTAAAGCAATGAAATAAATTACTATTGTAGCTTTTTGTTGCTGTTATTTCCAATTTAAAGCTTCAGACGCACTTGTCTCTTTTGAAACATATTTTTGCCGCTGTTTGTTTGACCTTGGTTGCCATGGTTTCCTATGCTTTCCTTTCCAATGTGTGTAGTTTTTAACTAAGCCACCGGCCACAGAGTACCTTTTTTTTTGTTGACGGTGTAGAAAATCCATTCGGATCGCCGTCTCCTCGGGCAAATAGGAGCCAGGAGTGAAATCTGTGAGGTAGAAGCTTACTCGCAAATCTTCGATATTATTGACATTTTCTTTTCGAATAGGTGTTCGTGTTAATGCCTGTAAACACAATTATATATTATGGATATGTAGTTTAAAATTTTAGACCTTTTACGGTTTCAAGCCGATGATCAGTAAAACTTCAACTGTCATTGTTTAGATTTTTCGTATTGGTTACTGGTACTGCCGTACTGGTTAATATATAGGTACCTATAAAGACTGGACCCTTGTAGCTTTTTATACGTGTTTTTACATAGTTTTCATTAAAATATTAATATAAAAGTTATGTAGCTGTCTGCACTTATACATTTAAACTTCTGCAATTCACATTCGCCTGTGCTCGAAATAATGAACGTACTCTACCAAGAATTTTCTTCTCGTCTTTAATTATATGCCTGTCACTGGTAAACAAAGCTTCCAACAACAAACCGTCGCGTATTAATGCAAAGAAATGCTTCGTCTTAATTAATATTTTAATGACTTGTGATGCTGCATGAAAAAATAATAAAAATGAATTAGTTCCTAATTGACGTGATGTAATAATATTGTTATGTGTTTAGCAGTGGGAGCATGCTTTATCTTATACTAGCTGACCCGCGCAACTTCGTCTGCGTCTCTCAATAGTAATAAATTTTCTCCGTTTTTGAAACATTTTTAATTGGTGCTCCGCTCCTATTGGTCTTAGCGTGATGATATATAGCCTATAGCCTTCCTCGATAAATGGGCTATCTAACACTGAAAGAATTTTTCAAATCGGACCAGTAGTTCCTGAGATTAGCGCGTTCAAACAAACAAACAAACTCTTCAGCTTTATAATATTGGTACAGATGGGCCGGTGAGAGTGATACCACCATACCAAAAGCGAGTGAATTTGAATGAACCAAGTGCAAATACTCACCCTCCCTAAGGTTTTGGGGGGGAGAGACTGAAAGGGCGGCAACGCACTTATGAGTCTTGAGTTGCAAGTGAGTATCAGGTAACCCGTCTTCTTGTTTGCCCCTGTATATAAAAAAATTAAAAGCCCCATAAAAAAATATATTTTTGTAACGTATTTCTACAATTTGGTTTGCATAAGGAGATTAGCATGATCATTTATTTCTATAGGTATAATTGTGTTATTTTTTTTTTACTTGTAGGGAATGTGTACCTACTTTCTAATTTAAATCTACTAGAGGTAGATTTTAAGTCAAAAATGCTCTGTGTTGAAGTAGAATCCTTCCAAACTGTGACCACATTGGAGCTAAAGTCAAAATTTTAGATAATATATAAACGTCAGCCGTTACGTCAGCCCATGTTGTAGTGGTAGCAGATAACCTAATTGTGTTATTATCCTGCCGTCCAAGATTTATTAAAATAGTATTACAATAACGTTGTAAGTAAATATCGGTTACAATGTCTGAAGAAGATCAGAAAAAGTTAGAAGAGCGTACAGCACGTGCAGAAAAGGAAGTTGATGCAATCGAGGAAGAGCTTAATAAGATAGCAAAGGGTGATCTCAGTTTTATCGGTGATCCTCGGTTGAACAAATTGCTGACTGAAAACGAGAAACTTAAAAATCGTTTAGAACACCTGCAAAATGCTGTCAAAGTTGAAAGCTGTAGTTCTAAAGTGCCAGCTGCTCGAAAACAACCAAGGGACCTCCCGACGCTAATTACTGACATAAATACTGTTGAAGGAAACATTTGTTTAGTGGATGAACTTAAAAATGTGTTTGAAGTTGGTATTAGGTCTGCATACCCTGACTTAGAGGATCCCCCTATTGTGATATCTCTCTCTGGTAACAATCCTAAATTTGGAGACTATCAGTGCAACTCTGCCATGGCTATTTCGCAACTACTGAAGGCTAAGAATATAAAAACAAACCCCAGAGAGGTAGCCAATAACATATTAAATAAAACCCCATCTTCGCCGTTCATAGAAAGAATTGAAGTTGCAGGAGCCGGATTTTTAAATATATATCTTAACAAAGCTTTAGTAGAACATGTTCTCAACTGTATCCTAAGGTCAGGTATCAAACCACCTCCAGTAAAGAGGCAAAAAGTTATTGTGGATTTTTCATCTCCTAATATTGCCAAAGAGATGCATGTAGGTCACTTGAGATCTACAATTATTGGAGACAGTATTTGCCGTTTGCTTGAATTTTTGAACCATGATGTTCTAAGGATAAATCACTTAGGAGACTGGGGAACACAATTTGGAATGTTGATTGCTCATTTACAAGATAAATTTCCTGATTTCAAAACAACATCACCTCCTATCGCAGATTTACAAGCTTTTTATAAAGAATCAAAAACACGATTTGATACAGAGGAGGAATTCAAGAAACGTGCTTATCAGTGTGTAGTACAGCTACAATCCTATGATGCAGATTATATAGCTGCTTGGAAACTGATATGTGAAGTCTCTCGGAAAGAATTCCAAAAGATATATGAACGTCTTGATATTCATATTATTGACAGAGGTGAGTCCTTCTATCATGACAGGATGCCTGTTGTGATTCAGCAGTTGAAGGATGGTGGATTTTTAGAAGAAGATAATGGTCGATTGATTATGTGGGCAAATCCTGATAATAAAGATGGTTTAATACCTTTAACTGTGGTGAAATCTGACGGTGGATATACATATGATACATCAGACTTGGCAACAATTAAGAACAGAGTAGAAGAAGAAAAAGGTGACAGGTTCATTTATGTTGTTGACAATGGCCAGGCAACCCATTTTTTGGTATTGGATGGCTGTGCCCGTAGGGCTGGTATTCTGAAAGGAGACCAGAAAATTGAATTTGTAGGTTTTGGTGTAGTATTAGGTGAGGATAAGAAGAAATTCAAGACTAGGTCAGGTGATACAATTAAATTGATTGAGTTACTTGACGAAGGTCTAACACGGTCACTGAATAAACTAATTGAGAAAGGGCGAGACAAAATTTTGACTCCAGAAGAGTTGAAACAGGCTCAAGAAGCAGTTGCGTATGGATGCATTAAATATGCAGATTTATCTCACAACAGATTAAATGATTATGTGTTTTCATTTGATAAAATGTTGGATGATAAGGGCAACACAGCTGTATACTTGTTGTACGCATTAACACGAATTAGGTCCATAGCAAGAACTGCACAAATTTCAGAGGATCAATTGAAAGCTGAATTTGAAAAAACTGGATTTAAATTTACACATGATACTGAGTGGAAACTAGGTAAAGTTCTTGTTAGGTTTCCTGAAGTTCTACTTAAAGTGGCCAATGATCTCTTCTTACACTCTTTGTGCGAGTATTTGTATGAAATTTCATCAGTTTTTACAGAGTTCTATGACAAATGTTATTGTGTTGAAAAAGATAAAGAAGGCAATGTTGTTACTATAAACTACTCCAGGCTGATGTTGTGTGACGCCACTGCCATTGTTATGGATAAGTGCTTTGATATTTTAGGAATCAGATCTGTATCAAAAATGTAAATACCATATTTTAAGTGTAATGTGTAATAATTTGATATTGTAATTTTATAAAGTAGGATATTAAATTCACAGTACATACTTGGTAAATTTCATATCACAATATTAATTATTTATACTATCTATGTATTTAAAGTTTGTATTAAACATCAGAAAAGCATTTTATTTCTTTTGTTTCATTTCATTTCATATTGTCATTGTAATGGACTATTAAATTTGTTTATTTCTTGCTATCATGTTGTACCAGAAAAATTATAATAGGATAAAACAATTCTGCAGAATACCTCCTTCCATAAGTTTGTCTATTATGCAGGATTGTTTTACTATATTATATGAGTTACTTAATTAATATAATACTAATATCAATTTGTAGTATTTATTTGAATTATTTATTTATTTTATTTTTATTTTTACTATATTATATATTTTTATTATATATACAGTATTTTTGTTTTTTTTTTAATGAAATAAGGGGTCAAGTGAGCAGAAGGGTTGCCTGGTGGTAAGTGACTACCGTTGCTCATGGACGCCTGCCGCTCAAGGGACAAGAGAATTTGGGGAAAGTTGGGATTGTGGTACCATCCCTGGGTTTAATGTGTGACTCACTTGTGTCAAAGCATGGCTCCCTCACTATTAATTACTGTGATTGCTGCAAACATACCTTGATGGTTCCAGTGAGTTCTAAAGGCAGCAGAAATATTTCTTTTAAAATAAAGTTTTTTGATACTATTGCAATAACTCGCAAGTTCATAACAATGATGGTAGGTCAATATTTACAAATCTAGGTTTTGTACATAATTCAAAATTTAATTTAATTTCAAAACATCACGAATTGCCGCGTTCAAAGTTATGGAGTGAAACGTTATGTTTAGAATATCCATACCCGTGATATCAGCAACAAACATGTTAAATGCAACTGTTGGGACGGTTGTGGCTTGATTATCTGTCTGATTGCATGAAATTTCATCAAATTTTATCTCCACTCCAACACTGCTTGACTTGTAATGACGAGCATTGAATTATTTTGATGTCAAGAAGACAATGGGCGAAATAAAAAGAACGATTAATGTTTGTAAAACTTTTATTTACTGAGTTCCCAAAAACCTCTACAAAACTATACCAGGGTCCAATATCGAAGGTAACATCAATGAAATAACACTATTTTTTTATGATATAAAAATTATATAGAATAGTAATTACCGGGTATGGGGTACTTCAACATTATGTATTCTGACGTATGTATAAATCTTAAAACAATACACTTTACATCACACTACTTAGACTTACTATTATACTTAGACAAAAGCATTTCTTATTATACCTTTAATATTTTAAAATAATAATATATGTATCTTATAATTTGGTCTGTGTTTTCATGTATAATATGAATGTTTTTATAAAAAAACTAGCTGGTACCCGCGACTTCGTTCGCGTGGAATTTGAAAAGCGCTGCTTTAGTAAGTATGCGATTGCAGTCCATTAAGACTCAGGTTTGATTTTATAGGGTTTTTCTGAGAGGAGCCCAAGTCACTCCTTATATAGACTGCTGAGCTACCTGGTAGTAAAATATTATCAAAAACGGTCAAACCGTTTTGAAGCTTATCCGAAATAAAGACACAAAAAAATATTTAAACTGGTTTTTAGGCATAGATATCGTGCAAATAACCGTGTGAGTATGAAAAAACCTATTATTTTATTACAAACAGACACTTCAATTTTATTTATTTGTATAGATGTGTCTAGACCCTAAAACTTCAGCTTAATTTGGTCTTAGATAGCGATGTGCAATTCTAAGTATATCCCAAGATATCATTTTGTTATTATTATTATTTAAGGCCAAAGCAGACGTTTAACTTTTAGCTGCAACTATTTAGTTAACTTAATATCTAAGTTAGTTAGTAGAGAGTTAGAATTTTATATTTATCATATTTACTTATTACATTTTATAATGAAAATGTTGCAAAATAATAAATGTGGCAGAATAACTTATTTCTTGTGCCAATATTATTTTAATTTAAAATTATAAAAGTCAATTCTCAGGGCAGGTCTCCTGTGACAGGTATTTCATCCTCTGGTATTGAACACTGAGCTAAACACATTTCATTATGATATGAATATATCTTAGGCAAACTTAATTATGATAATCGGTGACGTAAGCAACTTTTTTATACAGTGGCACAGGTGGCAAACGAGTAGACGGGGAAACCTAGGCCTCAATTCTGCTATTTCATGTTAACGTACAAGCCACTGTCATTCCAGTGAAAGGCTTTTGAGATGATATTGAAATCGGTTAAAATATCGGTATTCTTCCGCCACTGGTACTAACCCAGTTTAAGAGAATTATTGTATATTTATATCTGGTGTACAATAAAGGAATATGTTATTATTCTACTAACATAAATTCAGTATCAATAGGCTGTGGATGTAGTGACAATGGCTAATAAATGGTGATATTAACAACATTACCATATTTGGCAAATTAAATATATCATTTCCTTACAAATTTAAAATTGTATCACTGGCAGTTCAGTGACAACTCATCGGGAAACCATTGGTCTTACATAGTTAATAGAATACGAAAAGCGCAAAACTATTCCGACCACAGCCAACAACAATTTTAAAAATAGCAGAATTGAGACCCTGATGAGAGTAGACACCTGCAACTCGAGACACTACCTAACTGAATTAGAAAATAGAAACAAATAATATAAATTATCTTTTTTAAATTCTTTTGTTTTTATGACTTACCACTGCATAATAGGTATCGAGTAGCATGTCTGCTTTAGCACTTAGAAACAGAACAATACGAATTAAATACATGTTAAGATAAACAATGCCTATAGTTAACGCTTATGCAAACATAAATACAACAATGGTTACATTTCACTGACAATACATGAAATTCATTCCAAATACTTTTTTGACATCACATTCACATTGCGGGTACAGTCAATAAGTAATATGAGATTGTGAGAGATTTATATTTACATATGAATAAAACACTAAAAGCAATGAATTTTAAATATTTTTGTCAACATTTATTTTCTAAATGTGTATATTTCTATAGCCTTATAAGATTCGCTTAAAAATAAATAATTTAAAAACATTTTTTTATTTACTCATCAAGGATTTTGCGACTCAAGTTCCTTGGAAAACAGGAAAAGATACGCCACAGGAAGACGGTCCATTAAAGACTACTTTCAGAAGAATGCCACATTATAATTTGGTATACCTAGTTAAAATATCTACCGATGGCATCTTTTTGGAAGACTTGACACGCAGTCGCTTTACCAAGATGAACAAACAGGAGTGATCAAACTTTATTACAATGACATTAAGAGTGAATACAGCATGGTTTTGGCTATTTATATAAAGTAGCTATATCGATACTGTCGCCGTCACATTTAAAACCTATAACTAAATTTATCTACAGAAAATTGTCTCCATCGTACGTATTTAATAGAAAAGGACCCTAATAATACCAAAGACACTTTAATTAATGATATATGGTTTTCTATATCCTTTATTAACGTAAAGAAGTTTTTCTTCCAATCCGATATAATTTCTTCCAATCCGATATAATAGTGAAAACACTGCCTTTAGCTACCCTTCCCTACTTAGGAATACTTTGCACTTTAAACGGATAACCTTCTTTAATATTCAATATGGGTACCGCTACATTCATTACCAGATACCGTTATTCTGAAATAAAAAAAAATAAAAACACCTTCCCGTAATTATAAAATAATTTTCATATATGGTAATAGTGACACGTTGGAATTATACGTAAAATTAAATCCATTTTTATAATTTTGTGCATTTTAGTAATTTTTATTACCCTGTGACAACCTTGACTAACCGGTTTTCATGATAACCAATACGCAATATGTGCAACAAATTTAAACAACATCACTTGAAATTGTTATCAGCCTCATACATCTATAATATTGAAAATATCATCGAGCAATGCAATATAACTTTTTTTAGGGTCGGACCTAACGACTAAAAGAGGCGAATAAAAATATAGGGGAATGGTCATCAGTATCGTTTTTCGTTTCAAAAAAGTTTTTAAACGTTTTTTATCACAAGAATGGATCATGTGTTGCCAATTCAATGCAAAAAGTTACTACTCAAACTCAAAAGCTTCTCAATACTTTTTTAACGATCATACACATCTTTATAGGAAATTTTATATACGTATATATTATATTTCTAACAGAAGACCATTAAACATTTTTATTAGAGTAACTATATTTATATTTAATTCTACTATGTAACATAGTGAGTAATTTATATTATAATAGCTACTCTGATGTTTAATGCCTGTATAAATATTTTTTTTACAAATTACGATCATGCAAGATAATACGAAAAAAATTTTCAATGTTAGTTTAGGTAGGTACCTAATAGTTCTATTCATCTCATTTGACAGTACTGACGCGACTGTACCTACCTACCTATTTGTTATGAGATTTATTTAAACAACTACATTTACGTATTTGTAGCAAATAAAAATGACTAGAAATTGTTATGAAATCCAATTTGTTTTAAAAGTGTCGGGTGATGATGGACATTGAGTGTTTAATACAATACTTTTAATTAGGAAATTGTACAATTTTAAAACATGATTATACAATAAGTATGTTGCAATAATTACGATTTGACTACAAAATACTGAAAAGTGATACTAATGATTTGTTAAACTTTTCTCGACATTTTTTAAGTTTAATAGAGTAGATACAAGATGCTTGAATAAAACAAATATTTTCTTACACAGCAACGTCTCATTCATGCTGACTTTCATAAAATATTAATGATTTAGGCTTTGTTTTAGAACTCTTTAAAAAATCGATACACGGTTTAACAATACGAGTATTTGTTACACTTTTCGGAGAATTACCTGTAGTTTTGTGATTGAATTTTTATAGACAATTTTATTTTAAATACAGTTAAGACAAAGTGATAAGAATTAAATGTTATGATATTTGAGACTTAATTTTAACGAGTTATAAATATTATAACTCATATAATTTTTAATGAGATATTTAGAGAACTAACGTAATTTTTTAATCCGAGTAAATAAAAAAAACTAACTTTTATTTTACATTTATCTATACTTTAAGATTCTCAACTTATTACTAAACTTAACAACACTGTCTGAAATAGAATAATCATGTATTATGTTTAGAGACCTCTTAATACCTTTAATAACGTTAAAATCATTGTTATAAAAAAAAATGAATTATTGTTTTCTCTTTGTTGTACCCTTAGTTATGTAGTTATTGACATGTATATACACCTTCAGGTGTATTTACATGTCAAAGCCGTCATTTGCAGCTATGAAGTCAAGCAAACAAACATACAACATACTTATAAATGAATCTTTAACACCGACGGTTACAGGAACGGTTTACTGCCAAGGTTCTAAATAGGTGAAAGGTTTTTACGTGAAAGTTTAATATATTACTTGTATATTGCATGAAGACGTAACTGTGTAACTACGGGCGCGATGTGAAGTCGCCCCAGTTTTCAAACAGTGTCGATTGTTTGGCTATCGTAATGCGAGCACAACGAACAATGCCCAGCGCCCGGTAAACAGTGAGCTATCGAGGTAGGTGTCATCGTGACACATCGCTAAAGAGAAACGCTTCAACATTTATTACATCTATGAAGCTTTACAAGTCTGACAGAACATAGCCTAGTCACACGAACGATTGAGCAATCCTTAAAAAATCTACATTGGGACATAAATAAATAATTTAAACATTAAATAAATATTAGTTTGATGTTAAAAGTTTACGATCTATTCATTTACATTATGAGATGTTATATACATTCAACTAGCTACGACTATAACGAGCTAATACTAAGTAAAGTCACATTGAGGTGTATAAAAGATTTCGCTGAAAACACTGGATTTCATATAAGTATAATAAGTTAATAGGTATAAATGTATCTAAAAACCCTCAATAAGATTTTTGTATTTAATATTTACTCTAAAAAGGATTGTATTGGTCTCGAAACTCGGAGATACGACTACAAAGACTATACAATAAGTTCAACAATATGTTACAAAATATACACAGATTTCATATCATTTTGTAGTTAGTTTGGCTGAACGTGGTTCATGATGCTACGCGCTTTACATCCAATAGATATTTATTGCAATTGCATAATAAAACTGATACCTAGTCAACACGCGCCATACTGCAAACATCTACACTTACAGGCGTCATAAAGTTTGTTACCGTAAAGAAAGTATTACAGTAAAAATAAAACCTCTATCTCGTGTCAGAGCAATCCACCAGTGTCTAAAATATGCAATTAATAAATTGTTAGAAAAGTTTCTAATATATTTTAATTACATATATACAGAATTTAAATCTTTGGAAATATTAAGTATACCTATAAAATGATTGCAATATGTATTGTTTAAATACTAGACATTATTTATTACGCTCCACTGTGTAAAACACAATGACCCATTCTTATTATGATCTGTTAAATATTTAAATAAAACAAGTAAAGCCCCGAAACGTACAGCGTAAAAATAAAAAGTTAGTTCATTGGCTCAAAATAATTATTTCAAAAAAACTACAGCGTATTAATCGCTTCCGTGATAGGACATGCTTTTATATAACATAGAACCAATTCAAGGGTAGTAAACCGCTTTAGAGTTTCAGAAGTGCGGTATTACTTGAACTCTTATAACTTTTATGAGCAGTCCATTAGACAACCGCTGTTGTGGGCGTGCGATAAAACGATAAACGGTTTTTGCAATTTCCGTTGGCACGATCGATCGACTAGTCGCTCACCAGCAAGGGAGTATAATATATCATCATAAGTTATACTTATACATGTTCAAAGTAAGGTTCTGGATGCTCATGTTACCACAAAACCAAACATTAATATGAACACACGTTTATATTATATAGATATAAACGTAATACTGATTGCAATATGGCGCGTGGGGAGCACGAAAACTCAGGTAACTGTATAATATCATGGGCATTATATCCACAATCTGAACGACTTAACAGCCCACAGGAGTAACATGAAATTGCTATTGTCTTAAGAATGTTCACCAGGTTATGTAGTACAGTGTCTACTGTTCACTTCAATGGTCAATTTTAAAAGGCGAAATCAATCCATAATAATAATCTTTTTACATATTTCATCAATTATTGCCTTAAAAACATTTGCCGAAAATAAACATATAAAACAACGGCTAATACATTCTTATACACTAACACACACGATGACTAAAAATCCTGCGAGACTTCGGCTTCCATGAAAATAAACATACCCCTTAGTGGTTACCATGTAGGTCGTTCGACAAACAGGTATACAAATATTCGAAATTGGTAAACAGCACAGAACATGCTATATTCTAATCCAGCTACACTAAAGATTCACTCACACATTACGGATTTTCTAAGTGACTAACAAAGCCACAATGATAGCTGCACTGTGTCAATCGTCCTACAATGTCGAACGATTGTCGACTGAATTATTTAATCTGTGGCCTTGTTGTCGTAGATATAAAAATAGCGTTAGAGAGCTCTAGTAACGGAGATCCAATAGTTTAAACGGCAGTCTTCAGTAAGATTTGAGTTCCGGGAAGAGATGGCGGAGTATGGCTAAGTAGTGTACCGTTGCGGCCAGAGCGACGAACATATGCCAGATAGCGTGGGCGAAGGGAATCCGCCCATCTGACTTAAAGAAGAACACACCGATCAGGTACAAGATACCACCCAACTTCAAGTCGTACATTGCTGGAAACTGGTGCTGGAAATACAAAACAGTTCATTTTTAGCCTTGCTTTACAAACTAAAAAAGTATTTATTTTTACGTTTAAAAGTATTAATATTTTTAAACGTGTAACCAATTAGAAATTCGGGTACAAATTCTCTAAAATATTTGCCCATATGTGAACAGTCACATTGAGCAAGACTAACTTACTTACTAACTACTTAACCCCAAGCAATTAATCAATGAAGTACCTAACTACCAAGTAAAACTACCTTAAAAATATATATTTATAACGTAACGGCTTACACATTAGGTCTAGGAAGTTCACAAGATATCATCTACAGATTATACTCATGGACATGGACACTATACAGGACATGTATTTTAGTAACGTGTTTCCAGATTCACGACCAATCGATGGAGGCCGTTAAGGTTTTATTAGACGTTATCTGAACTTTGTTACATTCAGGCAGGCTGTCAAATATGACCATTGCCAATAAATGTTAGGAAATTAATATTACTGGTCGACACTTTAAAGTCTGGTTTACTTTGGTCCAAACAGAAATAATGTTGTAACCGCATGAAACAAATTAGTCAAGACCTCTTTAAAAGTTACCGTACTTACTAAAAGCAAAAATATTTTTTCATTTTTTTACCGTACCTAGTCTGGAAGATTACGTATTTGGGTCTCGTTAAACTACGCTAACACCACAATGGTTCTTTCGCGACGTTCAAATTTTGATGCGAATGTAAAAAATATATTATTACATTAAGTATTCGTTTTTGCTATTACTACTAGTAAGTATAGTTCGATCTATAGCTGAAGTAAAATGTAGGCCAGACCATTATTTAAAAAGAGAATTTAATAAAATTACATATATCATTCAAATCCAATTTACAATAAATGTGTTGCTATTTCAATTTAGACTTTTACTTTTCCAAAATTAATAATTATTATTATTCGACATATCTACTAATGTTTTTAGCTGTTAAAATAGCGTATTCAAACGTAAAAACTCTTCCATACATAACGAATATTATGGATGTAAAACAGTAGCTACATATTTAAATAACTCATTAAAAGTTCATCAAGTGACCTACATTTGATAACATGTTAATTTTACATATTTAAATAAGAACATATATATGGTAATGTTTGTTTTAAGTTTGTAGGTAGGTTCTTATATGTACTGTACTTATGTAGGTTCTAATTGGCAGACCGATTAAATTAATAGATAAATACATTATAATTGTGTAATAATAATTTATAGTAGTATCGCATTTATAAAACGAATGTATAAAATTAAGTTGATCGATATTTGTTTAAAACAAACTAGCTATTACCCGTGGCTTCGGTTGCATGATTACTTCTTATTTCTAGGCATAGGAAAAAATCACAGTGAACTGTAAAAGACCGGTTTATCATTCGATTCTTTCGTGCGTAGGTTAGGGTGACTACTTACTCACGCGTTTAGCATTTAACAGTAAATTTAGTAAATATTTTTTATATATTGCTACTATTCCCTACATAATAACAAAAAAATACTAGATTTACTGTTAAATAGCGTCTAACCTACCTACCTACATAGCAACCCTAACCCACGTACTCAAAAATCGAATGATTAATCACAGTTCACTGTGATTTTGTCCCATGTCTACTTATTTCGTATTTCTAACTTTGAAAATGACGAACTTCCATACAATCGTTCATAATAATATATAAATCTTTTGTTTTCAATTCCAAAATAAAGGTTTTTATTTCTCTGCATTAAGAGGAAAAAATCGGTGTCGCTTGCCATCATAGACAAGAAAAAAGTCTTCCGCTGTGCATTTCGCAAACACGTAAATAGTAAGAAAAATGAATTATGAGAAACACCTAAACCATCACAAATTCAACTATCTTTGTTGTCAAACATGCACAACAGAGCATTTTCATTGGCAAATATCATCAGCACATGTCGTTTAAAGCGTCAATGGTATAAAAATAAACACAACATTATATGTCACGAAGCTGCCAAAATAGTCATAAATACATCCATGCATGCATCACACCGAAAAAGTTGATTACATCTGAATATAATATACGTTTAACTGGTGGAAATATATTATTACATTTGGCCATTGAACTGACACTGAAGGAACTTTATAGAATTTTACACATTTTATGAGAATGGAGCAGTAAAATAACGCTGCTTGATTTATTAGGGACTAGCTGAGACCCGCGGTGTTACCCGCGTTTGTTGTTATAACCGCGGGAAACGCCGCGGGGCGAAGCTAGTCTAAAAAAAGTAGCCTAAGTTACTCTTTATGTCATCAACTATCTGGGGGTGAAAGTCCCGTCGAAATCGGTCCAGGCATTCCAGAGATTACCCGGAACAAACAGACAGACAGACAGACAAAAATTGTAAAAAATGTTATTTTGGCATATGTACCGTGTAAACATACAGATGCATTTAGTAAAAAGCGGTTATTTTAATATTACAAACAGACACTAGAATTTTATTAATTTGTATGGATTTTATTATATAATGTCAATTAAAAAATTAAAAAGTAAATTATTTGTTATTTTGAAAATAAAATGATTTTTATTTATAGACTGTTTTTTTAATCCTAGAGACCAAACTGCCTGGTGTGTTGTTACTTTTTTTGCAATTCTTAAGTGATGTGCCTAACTTTGAAATATTTGTTGTAGTTAATCGTCTAATAAAGATAAAAAGATACGAATTAACAAACCGGTATCGTAGGTACATCACTGCCTAAAAGAGCTGGTATCACTTATTTCTAAATTTGACATATGCTTGTGTCAATTTGGTCTCTAAGATTAAAAAACAGGCTATGGCTAATGTTAGCTTTGAAAGTAATATAAAATTACATGGAACAAATATAACAAAAATCGCACTTTTAAGGTTACATCAGTAACATGTGGAACTGGCTTCATGGAACTATTGGAAATAATCCGAGGCTATACGATCTATGAATTTACGAATTTAAAAAAAACTAGATCACTTCGGCTTTCCTTGTTAAAGAAATTTAATAAGAGAAGCCGAAATTACTTTGGAGAAGCGTAGTTCCTCACAGAACAGAGGGTCACTCTAGGACTGTTCTGCACAATATGGCTCAGGGAAACTATCTGTAGTTTTGTCTTCCGAATTAGTCTACACTTAGTATATTTTGCCCCATTTTAATGAGATTTAAACCGGGACTTTGTTCTTTTTTCTCTTTCATTATCACAAATTCCAATAATTATATCAGACATCTAATAACAGGTATTAGTTTCATCTTTGACGATTATTTTATCTATTTACAATTTAAGTACTGAAACCTATACAGATATTAATTAATTATGCTTCATGTATGCACATATAACAGAAGAGGTATAAATATACATTTTCATTCGCAGATTCTAACCTATTTGACGCATGAATGGACAACACTGCAACAAAGTTATAAGCTACGTAACATAATAATATTACAACAAAATTGCATAAGCCCAGGATGTTTCGTAAGATGATATAAATAACAAACCACTAAAGGTGTTTCATTCATAACAATTGGGATAAAACGGCAATATCCTACCCAAAGAATCAAGCGATGCAATCAATGGACCTTGTCATGTCATAAGTCGTTTACACGCATGGCGAGCCTCGACAAGTATCCACAAACACAAGCGCGTAAACGGGGCGTTTGGCTCGGCTCCCGTATGCTCGTCGTCGATCGGTACTAGTGTCGGTTTTGCACACAGATCAAAGGAAGTTCGCGGCAAGTGTTTGCGACGTATTTACACGTTGGCGCGTGCTTGTTCCCTACTGCTCAATTTGATATTACAAATATTGTAGTTGAGCAGTCGGGAATAAACATTAAGTCTCAATGCTCTACTGATTGAGCATAGTTCAGCAGTAGGGCTAGAGATTTTTTTTGTTTAGTGCCGCCGTTTATATTTTGAATAAAAATATGTCCACGTTTGCAATGTTTGCCTGTCCGGAACACAATAGAACACTCGAGCGTGTAAATGGCATCCAATAGTTTGTAAAGACTTGGAGCTTATGGACGTTTGCCAAGCCTCGGCTCTCATCTAAACTAGGCATCAGATTTTTCAAGATCGCATTTAATTAAGATCTCAAGACCAACCATCTCTGAAATTACATCTCAAACAAAAGCAAAATTATAAATTCTAAAACATGCGCATGATATCACTTACAATACACTCATTTTCTGTATCTTTTTCTAATCTTATCAACATTTTGAGCTACATGAAGCTCAAAGATCGCTAATTATATTTACTTGGATAGGTTTTAGAGATATTTTCGGTAGAGCCGCAGACCGCCAACACAGCAAAATTCTTATAATAACACATAGTAAGTTTACTAATCAAGTAATTACCTCAAAATCACAAAATTGATGCGAATAATCATTGCTTAACTTAAGACTGGTTTTTAGAAAACCTGTATATTTTGCAACACAACAGTTGTATTTTGTGATTGAGTAACGAGGAACAATGTATTTTAAGTCGCAAGTAGACAAAAAGCAAGTATATGCATATTTACAACATCCAAGTGTAATGACCCAAAAAAACTACGCGCGGCCCTTGCTGAAATAAATATCACAGGGCAGAAAAGCAAACCGGTGGAGTAAATTGAAATTCTAATTCACTCAATGCAATTGAATGTGTATATTCACGTAGTAATTGGGTCGCTAAAGACATTTAGTATGTTTATGTATATTCGAATAACGAAATGGTGTCGTATTTTAACATATTTTTTGTTATTATTATGAGGCAAATTGCACATAAATCTTATGTATCTATTTAATTTTTTTAGTATGTAAACAAAGGAATTATTTTTATTCAAGTACCTACTTACTCAAAAACAGAGCCTAGGCCTACTGCCGCCTCCGTCACACGTCCCTGTGGAATACAGCTGCAATAACCTGACCGTGTTTCAATCTAATACCCAGTGTACATTGTGTTTCTAAATTGGAAAATGTAATCTCGGGTGTAATTAACAAGGGATACGAGTACTAAGTTATGAAACCGTACA